ATTAGATTTATTATACCTAATTAAGGTGTATTTATTATTAAATAAAGTTGGTATTTTCTTTTATTGATTTGGAATTAAAAAGGAAAATAAAATAAACTAAATAATAATAAATAACATATAGAGAGTGGCGTGCAGCCACTTCTCTATTGTTATTATTATTATTATTATTATTATTATTATTATTATTATATTTTATCCAACTTATTTAATTAATAATGATGTATTGGTCCTGGTAGGACTATAACTCATTAATGAGTAAGACTTTGGTTGTGATTAGGAAACTAGTTTAGAACTAGTATAAATACACTCTCCTCCTTCATAATTTATATACCAGTTTTCAGATTCAGTATTACCAGTTTATTTCCCTGCGAAGAGATTTCCTAGCCTTTCTCTTAGGGAGGTCTAACCGTTCTTTCGGAAAGGAGAAATCACGTGGATACCTAAGGTCAAGGATTATCACCGCTAGGCTGGAAGATCTGTAAGTTCTAACTCAGATCTACTATTATTGTCATATTCGTTGTTTTGTCATAATCAGGGAAGATCTGTTTGCGAAAATTTTAAACTTCCGCTACTGTACTTTTAAGGTACGTTACATCAATTTCCTAACATCTAGCACCCCTCCTCACGATCAGAGTCTTCGTTTGGATCGTGTCGTCAATCATTTTTTTCATCGGTTCATCATTGTCATTTTTTATAATCGTGTCAATCATTTTTCATAAGAGGACCCACACCATGGACCAATTTGGCTCTGATACCATGTTGAATATCGGAGTATAGAAGTAAGTTCTTGTTATTCAAAAACTGAGTTCGAGTACATCAATACATCTTTGGTAGCCCAAATAATGTTTTATGGTTAGAAAATACGTATTAAGACATCTATCATCTATCATTATATAAAAGGATTTTTTGTGAATAGTCTTTCCGCCCAAGCATCCTAAGGTAAGAAAGTGCATAGCTGGAAATTACAAAAATAACCCAGCAAAAGGTACAATTGAACAACGTGAATTGATGATGGAATTTGAATTGTTCAGACTTGAGATTACATAATGACAATACAATTAAAATAGTTTGTGGTTAACAATCACAAAAAATATCTCGTCATGCCACTGTGCCACTATGCTGTTTTGTGATGAGAAAGGCATCTTCTTCTGATTTTGGCAGCTTGATAGGCCGTATTTCTGTAAGAACACCCATGTATGTTATTTCACTACAATAAAATTGACTTTTGAAAACATTTTGTTTGTAACACGTTTGTTGTTGTTGCGTATATCATTTAAATTTATAAATATGCAACACAATGACCGTTAAAGATGAAACCGTTGCTATGCGTTGAAGGGAAAAATCAGAGGTCCTTTTATTGTAGAATACCGGTAGCTGATAAATTGTCATCGGAAGTTCAGACATATTATTAATCGAGGAAAGTGACTCTAGCTTCTTCAAATATTTCATAAAAGCTATCATCCTTTCGCCCTTGTTTCATAACAAACATTTGACCTCTCCAATTCAGAGGCAGTCCCATATATTGGCGGCTTAAGTTTTCTCTATGTGTTTCCCCCTCACGGAGTAACTTATTAAGAACCGTAGCTTCTATCTTATTTTTAACAAAGTAATGGTTGAGCATACCTAGATATACTAGATGTATATCCTCAACAACAACGGAAGTCGGAGCAGAATCATACAAATTGTTGTATTTTTTAATCACTTGAGCCCCCGATAATTCATCGTATGGATCCACTCAGAGCATGGGCATAATTTCAAACCGACGCATTCTTTTTGAATCCGACTGTGGATGTGCTGAAACTAGCTTCATTAGTGACTTTCTTTTGTTATCTTCATTGATTTCGTCCTCTTCCACACGTTGATCTTCTTGAAATTGATCTTCCACATATTGATCTTCTGCATATTGATTTTGAGTATACTTCTCTGCACCAGAACAGTAATGTCTCTCCACCGATTCCAAGAATAGAACGGTACTGCACCACATTATGATATCAAGGAGTAATCGACAATCCGAAATAGTGTCGTGTTTTTGTTTTACTTTCATCTTGAAATGGTTGGCCAAACCCTGAAGACTAGTGGAATCAATATCTCTCTTTCCTTTTTCAAAACCACATCTACGGAATGATGAACATGTGTAAACTACTCGCAATGCTCTTGGGAATTTAACCACACCTACTTCACGTGATACATTATCCTTGACCTTGAATTTGTTAAGACTTGGGGTTCCATCCTAAAAGGTCAATCTTATAGGAGGAGTAGCTCATGTCTTAATATAACACTTCATTGATTCAAACATTTCCGGTGTGGGACTCTAACACCCCTCCTCACGACCAGTCTTCGTCTGGATCGTGTCGTCATTCATTTTTTTCGTCGGTTCATCATTGTCATTTTTTATAATCGTGTCAATCATTTTTCATAAGGGGACCCACACCATGTATCAATTTAGCTCTGATACCATGTTGAATATCAGAGTATAGAAGTAAATTCTCGTTATTCAAAAACTGAGTTGGAGTACATCAATACAATAGTATATATACATAGATTCCTAGGGCTACAGAGCTACGTAATTTACATGCAAAAAGGAATCCTCCTCCTATACGTAAGCTAAGGCAATTAAAGCACCGCTACAAGAGATAAACACTACGAAGCAATAATAAATTAATATACAACAAATATTGTCAACAAAATTGCATTTTTGATGCCTCAAATGTATACTCGAGCAACGACAAATCACACTTAATATTCTATGAAGGTTTTAGCTTGAACTTTATAATCTTTATTTTTTAAAAGACGTTTTGAAACATCTTCCCCGTTGGGAGGTTTAATGTACCAGCGGCAGTTTCCACGCTCTTCCAATGTACGGGGTTAAACGATGACAATACCAACTTCCAGAAGTGTTGGCTTCCCTCCAGCTCTTTTAGAAGATTTGAATTTACAATCTATGAAATGGAGGTCCGACGCTAGATCTGTCGATTCCTCTAGCTCTAGCAAATGCATGGGGAGGGGTCTAAATTGGGAGGCAGACTCCGGAGGTGATAGTCCATGTCTTTAGGAGTGTGATTTTGTGTTTTTGAGTTGAGTTAAAAAGCAGACTTCAGGTCTGTCTCAACAAAATGGAGATCCCTGAGATAAAAAAAAAAATTGGGCTTTCTTTTCAATATAGAACATAAACTAATGAATATAATAGTTAAAATAAAAATATTCATCAATAAAATACATTTCACTTAATAGCTCTGTTCGAAATTGTGCAATGCAATCGCGCCTTGAGGCACGCCTCAGGGATATTTACTCCATTTGCGATAAGAGGCGTATCCATTTTACGCAATGGGTGATCTTATGTTTTTCCCTACTAAGACGTACACAATAAACGATACGCAAGAAGGCAGTTCATGAGGCGCAAGGACGGAACTTGTAAGACCACTTGGAGTGGTGAGGGAGTCTAAATGTCAAAAATGGACTCCGTGCATATGAAAACAGTGTTTTGACTCCTATTTCTTTACATTCCAGCACCGTCAATAAAATACACTCTTCACATTTTTGTACTTATCAATTTAGTAAAACATTAATTAAATTATTATAAGTAATGTTTTCCCTTTATTTTTTTCTCTGATTAATTATAAAATAAAAAAGACATATTTCGGTATAAAAATAAATAAATTTTAATTAATTATATTTACGTTTTTCGGTTAACAAAAAATAAACTTATTTCATGTAAAGTTAGATTATGAAATATTGGAGAGGCCGAGTAATTAATTAAAAATAAACTTATTTAATTAATTTCATTAATTATGAAATTTCATTAATTATTTTTTGATCGAACTTTACTTGAATTAAGTTCATTTTTTGTTAACCGAAAAATGATTAAAAGATTAATGAAATTTATTTATTTTTATATCGATATGTGTATTTTTTATTTTATAATTATTCAAGGAAAAAATTAAAAGTAAAACATTACTTATAATAATTTAATTAATGTTTTACTAAATTGATATGTAAAAAAATATGCAGAGGGTACTTTATTGACGTCGCACGGATGCAGAGAAAAACAATATTGACCGAGTCTAAACACGGTTTTCATATGGACGAAGTCCGAACCCAAATTTAACATTTTGGACTTCTAAAACCTTACCACTGCACATAGCCTTACGGAAATTTAAAAGAATCCAGCAGCCATACTCTGCAAAACATTGATTTGTTCAATGCATCAACTTTCACTAAAAAATACGGAGCAGTTAGCATTCAATCTAGTCATAAAAATTCATATGGATGATATCAAATTCACATGGGAAAATCATCTATTAATTATCACTGCTGCACTAAATTTCAAAGCTCGGAACTTCAGCAAAAAGGTTGATCTTTTAAAGATGTTTCATAAATGAAAAGAAAAAAGGAACCAGAAGTACTCAAAAACTGCAACAAGATAACTAAAACTCTAGTTTGCCACTACAGAGTAAGCACCGTTAGCATGCCTATAGAGGAGCTGATATAATGAGCCTCTTGTATCCACTAAACAGAGAAATTCAGATAAACGTAGAAACAGTAAAACAGAACTAAGCACCCACCAACAATCCAGCACCACATGAGAAAAAAGTTGAGTAGTGTTGAAAACTAACTAATGTTGAAATTTTTTTCCTGTGTCAATCTGCAACTCTTCTATAACATGTCCACAAGTTTGTTTCAAAAAAAACAAGCAAATAGTTCTAAAACTAAGAATCACAACAATTAATTTATAGGCACTACTCCAACAAATACACAAATGTTTAGAGAAAACACAATATTTAACACGTTTAGATTTCAAATAAGCAAGCAAGCCATTATTGTTTAATTGCAGCACTACCCCAAATAAGTTTAATACCACCCATCACATTTCCTATCAAAACAGAAAGACCACTAATTCATGCAATTTAGGTACTAGAGCGGTATTATGGAAAGTCAAATTGATGACGAGCTAGATGCCTTTAACTATAACAGTAATCCCAAACGTACTATACTAGCAATGATTCAGGAGAACAACATTGTTATACCAAAACATCAATCTCAAACGAAGTCTTCTAAAGTAACATCTATTCCCATTCATCGTAAAGATCATCAACAACAGTTACTTTTCATACTGAAGCTTCTAACCCTTCCTGTAATATTGTTACATAATTAAAATATTGTTCTGAACACAAAGAGATAGGCCTCTTACGGATATTTCATATCAACTATATATTCTAACTTTTACCAGAAACAGGTATCACTGCCACATCAAAACACATTACATCCTTTTTCGCCTCTGGATTTTTTATACTGGGTCCATCGTAACATATGGCCTGCACTGTAAACTTCCGATGCCCAAATGTGCACTCTCTCGTATCCACGATATGGGCATTTCCGGTGTTAATGTACATTATCTGCCCATTATCAATTCTGAATTCGAACCGAAGAGGAAACTCTGGATAAAGACGCATGGTTGCTGACACAGACTGAATACTAGCATAAATTAACATTTCCACAAGGTCAGCTTCAAGAGTTAAGGACACCGATTGTTTGATCTTGAAGGAGAGTGCTTCGTCCCGCTGGAATGGAAAGAACAAAACATCATCAGAGTCCGTCTATGGAGCTCAAGTTGGCTTGGTAAACAGAGAATCAAGTTCATAAAAAATGCTCTGACCGAGAATGCATACACCCACCTTAACAAATACAAAATAACCTCGGATAGAGAACTTAATGCCTTCATTGGTCACAGATATCATAACTGAAAACCCACCCCAAAAAGAAGATCACGTTAGCCTTCAGAAGAAGATTACAAATTACAATAATACTGAAATAAAGATCAATAAAACATTTCATTCCCCAAATCCTTACAATCATCATCCGCTAGGCTGCTAGGTTCAGGATCAGGAACTGATAAAGCTCCCGATTCTCCCAATCTGGGATCTACGTTACGAGCGATCTTACCACACCCACCAGTGCAGCAAATCTCTCCGATAATCCTAGTAAACATAGTTGATGGGAGTTTCACAGTGGCATGATAATCCAATTCCATAACTTGTGGCCTACAGATGTAAGAGTCCGGAAGCTCAAGACACTTCAAAGGTAGCCGGCGGCGCGTCTAAAGCTTCAAAGTCAAACGATTCATATTCAACCGCATGGTAATCTTTCGGTCATTGTAACCAGTGTCAGGATCACTAGATTTGATATCATTCCGAGCATTGATAACAGCATTCACAATGGTTAATGTTTCGCAATCGGTGCCATACAATCGGAATCCGCTGGAGGAGAAAATCAAAACCTGATTACGTTCGTTTAGAGTAGGTTGAACAGCATTCATAACAGCATTCAACACAGAAGCGTTAACCCATAAACGCAACATTGTGTATTGAGATTAATTCAGGGAGTGGCAAAAGGAGAGAACAAGATCTCAAAAATGAGAAGAATAAGACTGGAACTATGATGCACATGTGTATAAGACTGGAACTCTGATCAATTATTCAGTTGATCACGTGGGGAAAATTGGACAAGTGAAGGTTCGAAACCTGCAGCGGCCGTGTGAAGGTTACAGAACAGGAAATAAGACTGCAACTCTGATGCGCATGTGTATAAGACCTACCGTCGCTTTCCTGATTGAGTCGCCGTGATTAACCTCCTCACCATCCTGTCGGGTCGGAGTGGGGCTCCTGGGGTGGGAGATTTCACCTTTTGGACCAAGAATGAGAAGAATAAGAGAGAAATGATGACTAGGGTTTGAGATATGTCCAAATAAAAATACTACATACTTTGAATAATTGTAAAGGTCCACTTTTTACGTTTGCTAATACACAAGTTTGATCATTAGTATTTTTTATTCTTTATTTGTATAAAAAGTAAAAAATCTATATTTTGAAAATTTAAAATGAGAGAAATTTAACGATATTTTTTTTAAATTTAATTTATAATACATTAAAAAATAAAACATAGTCAAAGTAAAACATGTGAATAGTATAAAAAGACCAATGTTGTATTTAAAAGAGAAGAGAAGTAGTATGTACAGTCAAGAGTTCAAATAAAAAATGTCTTCCTATACAAAGGGCGAACGAGTGCACTTTTTGCTTACTGCATTGCACTTACATTTTTCTATTGCATTTTTTCGCGCTACAAAAGGCTTTGATTTATTTACGAAATTGTCATCGAGTTTTTTTAGTATCAAATCTAGTACATTAGATCTACAAATGAATGCACAAAATTTATTCTAACTTTGTATAGGAAACTCTCTTTGTATTTGAATTGTCCCTCTATATATATATATAGATTCCGGATCAAATAAAAATCTTTCTTCCGAGAAAACTACAAACCGGTCACTTTTTACCGATTGTGATGCACTATTAGGTTTCTATGTTTCACTTTTTCACAATGACATACAATTTTGAATTATTTACAAAAATGCCACCGTATTATTTTATTTAACATGATTCGACCAAAGTTCAAAAAGTGCAAGAGATGAGCTGTAAAGTGAATCAAGTTGAGCCAAAAGTGACGGTTTGCAGTTTGCACGATAAAGATGGTTTTTATCGGAACTGCACCCTATATATATATATGTGTATATATATATATGTATATATATATATATATGTATGTATATATATATATGTATGTATATATATATGTATGTATATATATATGTATGTATATATATATATATGTATGTGTATATATATATGTATATATATATATATATGTATATGTATATATATATATGTGTGTATATGTATATATGTGTATATATGTATGTGTATATATGTATGTGTATATATGTATGTATGTATGTATATGTATATATATATATATATATATATATATATATATATATATATATATATATGTATATATATGTATATATATATGTAGGGTGCGGTTCCGGTGAGAACACTCCTTAACGTGAGAAATGAGAACACTCCAAAATGATGCACTATATCATTCACAAAACTGCACATTTATAGTTAAAGTAATGCAAAATTCTAATGTGAACCCAAAAAGTGCCTCAAGACCTATCTAATACCATCTGGAAACTGGGAAGAATCCTCTTGATTTCACCACTTCATCTCCAAGTGGTTTAGTTCCATTCGGGCAACCTATTGAAATTTTAAATAGAAAAAAATACAAAAAAGAATGTAGCTCAGTCATACATATGTGTGTGTGTGTGTTTGGAAATCCCCACTGTGGTATTGGAGATATTTGTGATTTTACATGTGTCCAGCTCTTTCCATTAAACTCATTGACAAGAACTGCATTCATTGCATACATCAATGGGGAAGAGCAGTAGCCCCAAAATCCACCACTCCACCAGTGTTTCACTACTCATCTGCACAATCAGAATGGAAAGCAATGTGCAAATATTAGACAATTCAAATGACATCTTAATAATGTAATTCATAACCATTACCTAACCATTAAGCTACAAACCTCGAGAGAGCACGAAGCCACCCAAAGAAAACGACAAAAGCAAAGGGTCCAAATGTATTTGTGACTCCCATAGTCCTACCCATTGCTGCAATAAATTTGGAAGAGTGAAGAACCATCTGGTTCACCAAAAGCTTTAACAAGAACTGTTTGAACAGCCTGAAACAAGAGGAAACTTTTGAGATTTTACAGGTCAATAACCAATGCAAGAGATGAAACTATAGTACCCATTAGAATTCCAATTAACGTTTCTTACTAGCCAACATTTGGATCAAAACCAATGGCGTAGTAAGTAACAAACACCCATATACTGACTTCAACAAATGTAATAGGCAGTTTGAGGATCCACAAAGGTATAGCATAGGGGAAAATCGGAGGTCTCTATGTTTGTAGAATACCAGCAGCTTATAAATTGTCATTGGAAGTTCATAGATACCATTGAGCATAATCATTATGACACATTGACACTGAAAAACAAGGATCCATCAGTTGAGTTATTGTTCTTCATTTCAGTTTGAAAAACAGCATTATGGAAATCAAAGCCATCAAAAAAGCTGGACTCAGCTTATACATTCACAACGTGAAAAACATTGACAGGCTAGGAAACTCAAATTATAACCAACCACTCACCTGAATGATCTTGAAGATGTAAGCAAATGAGTTTCTATGCATTAGCATATATTCTCTCTCTTTGCAAACCTTCAAGAGCTGCTTCTTTCCTATACCAAATTTGTCATTTGATAAAGCGGCAGAGTGACTTTTAGTTATATTGGATTGGACCGAAATTCCATGCGCCATTTTCCTCCCGACATGGAAAGATTGGTATGCCTCGGCAAATTCCTTAGCCTTCACATACCTATAAGGCTCATTGCAGCATATTGCTGTTGATTTTTCTTGGTAGTCACCTGTCAAACAACACCTTATTTTTAACAATGTAAAGGAGAATTAATTTTATATTCTTGGGAGATGATCATGTGAAAGAAATGCATACTTCTTCCAAGAAATCTGCTATGCATTTTCTTTTGAGGCATCTAATCCCATGGACTCAAAGAAATTCAATGTCATCGTGAGGCCCATTGTAAATAACATACCCATCCGACAACAGAATGATATCATCGAAGAGATTATAAATGACAACAGTGCTCTTGAGAATGTGCATGTTGAGATTTCATCCATGAAAAGACCTTTTGCCTGTCCGACCATCATTTCACCTATGGTCACACAATTTTTCTGCCCACCTGATATACCTCTTATCATTTGTGTCCACACATTCTTCCAGTCCCACTTATCTGCAAAGCATAGACTCATCAATGTCCAAGTTTTTCTGCAGTAGTTTCTTTTAAGTCCTGACTACAGTTAAATTGTATTGTTTGATTATTCAAACTATAGGTTATCTTAAGCACATTATCTGTGACGACATTCGCCTCTTGTCATTCAGTGGGTGCAGCCTGTAAAAAACATATTTTGTGTCTGTATTATATTGTATGGTTCTTTAAATACGACTAAACAGTACATTTTTAACCTTAATATAATTAATAAATTGCCCCCTAGTTCCCTAGCATAACCGGGTCAGTCCGGTGATAGCATCACTCTGGCGGCAGCGGTCAGTGGAATCTAACATCAGACCGGAGGCAGAGAACGGCGGCGGATTTCCGACGTCTGGCGCTCCGGCGGCCAAGCTCCAACCCGTTCAAGGGTATTTTTGTCCAATTACAACTATTTGGGAAATTTTAAACATTTACTCCTATTTTTGCACTTTAAGCGTGTTTTATTCCTATTGTGGGAATTCTCTCTAAATCATTTCAGGTGAACTCTGCTTCAAATATTTGCAAGGTGTGTGATATTATATCCCGTGAATAGATTAAGAACTCACACAGATAAAGAGACTGGTTTAACTTTAATATACCTTCATGTATACGTCAATATCTGGATCAGGCTTGATATTTGTTGCATTCTAACTTCTTGACAACTCCGCTAACATTTCTGCACGTATTTTCAAAGCATTTAACGCAATGAAAAACTGAAATAGGCCTCAAGATTAAAAAAAGTTATACAAAATAAATACCTGTTATAAATTAATTATGAACCATAAAGAGACATCACGCCCTGGCATCTCGCCAAAAATTCTAGGGTCTCTCGAACAGTCATTTCTCTGATGTGCAAATCGAGTTGACTAATGTAAGCAGCTGTTCTGAGGCACGAATTCGTTCAGGTCATGCCCATTTTATGTTACACTTCCTCCCACCCTTAAATCTTTATCAAGCTTTCCAGCCAACGCTAGCAAAAGCGAGCAAGGATGTCCCAGCATGGTTTGATTATTCCACTAACATCATCATAATAGTGATCCTCTGCTTCTTGCTTTTGCTGACGTGAAGGGCGTTCAGTAAACCTTTTAATGATAAGAATGCAAGGACAAGAATCAAGTTATTTGCTTTAGATACATTGCAAGAAGCAAAGCTAGTTGGAGTACTAGACATTGATCTGAAAACTTATGTCTCACTTTTTAACTTTTAAGTATCAATAAATCGATTTTTATTATAAGTATTAATTAATTATGAAAGATAACGAATAAAAAATCAAAGTTGCATAAATATGATAAAAATAAAAATGTAACTCATATGTTTAATTACAACCATTATTGTTTATCATGACAATATCGTTGCTTATCATGAATGAGAGCTAATTCCCTCCTAAAACCAGATCTGTCAGCTAGTTATAGTCGTTTACGACTGCATGTCATATTTTATCAAGCACGAAAGAAAGATACTTCTACTTGTGTAGTATGCACTTACCCCATAATTTAGTTTTGTTTGCATTAATTCCTTTAGTAACCCACCGATCTGGAAAGTAATAAATGAGAAACTTTGAATAGGACATTGTTGACCTACCTCATTGAAATTGATAGTGAAGATGATGAAGTCAAAGCTCTGCTGACTGCATAAGCATCTCCACACATTTAGATGCCCATATCCCACTTCGATTTAGATCCTCATATCCCACTTCAATGGACGGAAGATCTATCCAGCCTATGTGAATTGATTTGATATTGAGTAATTAATTACAGCTTTGACGCATGAACATACCAAGATTCAACATCTAAGGACAACAGGAATCAATCATGAAGGTAAACACAAACCTAACCTGTCAACCCCACTGTGATATTGGAGATGCATGTGCTTGCATGTCTCCAGCTCTTCTTTCCATTACACTCATTGGCAAGAACTGCATTCATACATCAATGATAAAGACCAACAGCCCTGAATCTGCAGAACCAGAATGGAAAGCAATGAGTTCATTTTAGACAATTCAAATGAGATCATTATAATATATTACATAACTTTGTTAAACCATTAAGCTACAAACCTAGAAACGAAATAATGCCACCCAAAGCAAACAACACAAGCAAAGGATCCAAAAAATGTATTTGCGACTCCCATCCATCGCTGCAATAAATGAGAAGAGTGAAGAAGCCATCTGGTTCACCAAAATCATTAACAAGAACTGTTTGAACAGCCCATAATTAGAGTCTTGAAATTGCAGTAACAATTGCAGTAAGAGATGAAATTGCAGTAACAATTAGAGTCTTGATTAATACACATGGTTCTTCTTACCTGTCGAGGTTTGAATCAAAACCAGTGACATGGTAACTAACAAACACTCATTTATTGACTTCAACAAATGTAAGAGGCCGTTTTAGGATACACGGAAGGAATAGCATAAGCCCATGAAGGGAAGAATCAGAGGTCATTTTATTGTAGAATACCGGTAGCCGATAAATTGTGATCGGAAGTATTTTCCTCATATTATTAATCGAGGAAAATGATTGTAGTTTCTTCAAATATTTCATAAAAGCTATCGTCCTTGTTTCATAACAAACATTCGACCTCTCCAATTCAGAGACAGACCCATATATTGGCGGCTTAAGTTTTCTCTACGTGTTTCCCCCTCACGGAGTAACTTATTAAGAACCGTAGCTTCTATCTTATTCTTAACAAAGTAATGGTTAAGTGATAGACAAGGTCAATACCACCAGAAGTTCACAGTGAAAAGGGTAAGAGAGATGATAGGAAAACGTTATTAGCTAACCGAACAGTTCAAGAAGGATACAATGCTCAGGGGCGAATTCGAGAGGCCCAATCTCCAAAGTTCTGACATCCAACAAAATAATAGCCTGCCTCAATTAGCTATTCCCCCCTTCTATTTATAGCTATTATCCACAGAGATATGCCAGATATTACTAATACCCCCCTCCCTTCTATTAATACTACTACAAGTACCTTTACCTTTACTATTATTATTATTATTATTATTATTTCTTATTAATAGCCTACTAAACCCAGATTCCTATCAATACTCCCCCCCTAAATAACCACCTTGTCCTCAAGGTGGGTGATAGGAATCGGCCATGATCTTCCACTTGCACTTCATTCTTGCACCTCTCCCTTCCCAATACTTGACTGGTTGATGGACTAGTAGGGACTTCAATACTAGATCTTTTAAAATCATAGACCTTTCAATGGCAGAAGAGATCTTTAGTGAAGTTTCATTCACTTCAGTAACTTTCAAACACTCAACAGCAGCAAATGTTTCTGTACTTTTCTGCAGCTCCTCATTGTTTTTCTCTTCTGAAACTAATACTGCACTGGATGCAAATTTCTCTCCGTACCTTTCAACTTCTTCCTCTTTCCAGTCTTTTCCTATCATGTAAAGTTTCCAGAATGTTTTTTGTTGCTGGTAAGCCTTCCCTTCACCAGAAAGAGAACTGGCCATTTTCCAGCCTTGCTTCCCATTTATCTTTTCCCTGATTTGAATGTATTTCTCTACAGAACAGTTCTCTTCTGGATCATTGGAGCATAAGACCATTTTGTAAGGTTGACATTTTGCTTCAGCTTCCAGTCCGTTAACAGCAGCCTGAATAGTAGGGTCCGGATCCACACTTATTCTACACATCAGGTAGTCTGAAATAGGTCTGAAAACACCACCATGATTCTTAAAATAGATAGCAGCATCCAACTCCTTTATTGCGTGAAATTTTCTGTCAACATTGCAAAGATCTAATTCATCATCCCCTCTTAGCCCAGAATCTGAGGAGTCCCAATTTACCGAAAGTATCAAATTGCAGCCCATTATTGTCATCCCTGCCTTGACCTCTGAGTGATTGAAAACTGATTTTTTTATTGCACTATTATGTAGTTCCTTCATAACACCTTGCTTTGGTAAAACACCCTGGAATAATAATAAAACTCCTTCACCCATAAGAGTTTGATCGTGATCTTCAGCATCAATGACACACTTCCCCATCCATCTGCTATTAGTAAGTGTGTCACTCAAATGCCAATCCTCACGTCTTTTCCTGAGTATCTTGAGTTGATGAGCAGCAATTTCCATATGAAACCTGTAGTCAAAACATACCCCTCTATTCTGCACAGGGACATGAACTGCTGGCATTCTCCTCACATCTTCACCAATGATTATGGCCTCTAGGAAGTTTCCACGACTGAGATCATTGACACCCTTTTTCTCTTCCATATCTCTTTTATGGAGTGCCTGGATCCTTTTAACAGCAATAGTCATCTGAGTTGGGTAGTGAAAACCTATCATTTCCTCGGGAACAGATAGACAAACTGCAGGCAGACCCCTAACCTCTTCCCCAGAGATAATGGCGTATGGTAATAGATTAAGATTGAGATCGTTGACAAGCAACAAATTCACGTCAGCCTCAACTTCAGTAACATATTCAACATACTCCTTAAAATTCCTAGTAATTCCTCCCCTCAAACCATTTTGATTATACATCATCGAAGTAAAGCCATCAATTCTGAGGCTATCCAAATTGTTCAGTGTTCTCCGAGTAATATGTGATGAATGGCAGTACATCTTATCCATCAAAACCTCCAATCCACGTCCAGTGAAACCTTCCCTGGTGTCTGATGAAAATCCTGTAGGTTGATTAATATCCTCTTCAGGGTCTGATTCTGTAACTGATGCTGCAACCGGCTTCAGTTCTATGTTCAGTGTCGTTGGTGTAGTCCCCTGCGATTCCTTCCCTGATGAGACCAACTCGAAGGTTTTGGAAGCTGATGAATCTGGCGCAAGGTGAGAAACTCCAATCGACGATGAGCTGTGAAATCCTGCTGGTGAGGAAACCTGCGAACTCAGCGAATCTGATAGGGAGGAAACTGGCGACTGCGAACTGGAGAATATGCTAGCGTATGTGTCAGTTTGCCGCAAATCTGATGGATTAGGAGAAGTTGCTTCCGGAAACCCCTGCGAACTGGAATGATATGTGAACGTCGAACTCTGCGACCTATGAGAGGCTGTATGCGACGGGGCCGGTGAACTAAGGACATCTGCTCGCCCAGACGCTTGCGAACCGGGAAGAGCTGTTGGCGACGATGATGAAATTCGTGATTGCGAAGAAGAAAATCGCGATTGCGAACTGTGAGAATTCCTTGACGATCGCGACTCCTGGTCCTCTGACTTCTGACTGCGTTGTTGGAAACACCGATTTATGTCCTCCTTCAGAACTTCCCAACTCTTTCCTCGCGTTCGAAATTCCCACCCTTGAAACCAGTAAAACGCATCATCCTCCATAGCCTCTGCTGCGACTTCAACTTTATTTTTCTCCCCAGTAGCCTTGAGACGGAAATATTCTTCCATCCTCACAATCCAACTGTCTGCATCATCCCCGTCAAACAACGGTAGTTCAACCTTTATTCTTGTACGGATATCTCTTCTACTGCTATAGCGTCCCTTACTAGTGCTAGAGTGATAGAATTACCTTCCGACGCAGCTAGACTCTCAGATTCCTTTGTTCGTAGATGTTTAGAAGTGTGCGATCTTCCTCTGGTTTGAAACTGTTCGTTATCGCTGCCAAGGATGCAGCGATGTTCTCCATCGCAGATTTCCTCTTCATGTTCGAACGCTTCTCCAGGTTCGAGCGCACCTCCAGGTTCGAACCAAAGGCGTCCAGTTATGACCGTCGCGGTTCTCTGCTCTGCTCAGCGACAATCTTCGTTCGTTCGTATCTCAGCATCGCAAATCATAAACTCTCCTCTTCCGCGATAATTAAGACTCCAGGAGCGAGTGCTCTGATACCATTGATAGACAAGGTCAATACCACCAGAAGTTCATAGTGAAAAGGGTAAGAGAGATGATAGGAAAACTTTATTAGCTAACCGAACAGTTCACGAAGGATACAATGCTCAGGGGTGAATTCGAGAGGCCCAATCTCCAAAGTTCTGACATCCAACAAAAAAACAACCTGCCTCAATTAGCTATTCCCCCTTCTATTTATAGCTATTATCCACAGGGATATGACAGATATTACTAATACCCCCCTCCCTTCTATTAATACTACTAAAAGTATCTTTACCTTTACTATTATTATTTCTTATTAATAGCCTACTAAACCCAGATTCCTATCATTAAGCATACCTAGATATACTAGATCTATATCCTTAACAACAACGGAAGTCGGAGCAGAATCATACCAATTGTTGTATTTTTTAATCACTTGAGCCCCCGATAATTCATCGTATGGATCCACTCGGAACATGGGCACAATTTCAAACTGACGCATTCTTTTTGAATCCGGTTGTGGATGCGCTTAATCTAACTTCATTAGTGACTTTCTTTTGTTATCTTCATTGATTTCGTCCTCTTCCACAAGTTGATATTCCACATATTGATTTTGAGTATACTTCGCTGCACCAGAACAGTAATGTCTCTCTGCCGATTCCAAAAATACAACGGTACTGCACCGCATTATGATATCAAGGAGTAATCGATAATCTGAAATAGTGTCGTGTTTCTGTTTTACTTTCATCTTGAAATGGTTGGCCAAACCCTGAAGACTAGTGGAATCAATATCTCTCTTTCCTTTTTCAAAACCACATCTACGGAATGATGAACATGTGTCAACTACTCGCAATGCTCTCGGGAATTCAACCACACCTACTTCACCTGATACATTATCCTTGACCTTGGATTCCATTTTTTATGTCTCAAATGTATACTCGAGCAACGGCAAATCACACTTAATTATATTATCACCAACCCACACTTTGGAATGTAGATACTCGAAGAGTTCCAGAGCTATATCTGTGAAGGGTTTAGCTTGAACTTTATAATCTTTGTTTTTTAAAAGGTGTTTCGTAACATCTTCCCTACGGGGAGGTTTAATGTACCAGCGGCAGTTTTCACACTCTTCCAATGTACGGGGACAAACAATGACAATACCAACTTCCAGAAGTGTTGACTTCCCTCCAACTCTTTTAGAAGATTTGAATTCACAATCTATGAAATGTTGGTGGAGGGTTTAGCTTGAATTCAAATCTTCTAAAAGAGTTGGAGGGAAACCAACGCTTTTGGAAGTTGGGATTGTCATCGTTTGTCCTCATACATTGGAAGAGCGTGGAAACTGCCGTTGGTACATTAAACCTCGCAGTGGGGAAGATGTTTTGAAACGTCTTTTAAAAAACAAAGATTATAAAGTTCAAGCTAAACCAATCACATAGATAGTTGTGGTGCTCTTCGAATATCTACATTCCAAAGTGTGGGTTGGTCATAATATAATTAACTGTGATTTGTCGTTGCTCGAGTATAAATTTGAGGCATCAAAAATGGAATTCAAGATCAAGGATACTGTATCAGGTGAAGTAGGTGTGGCTAAATTCCCGGGAGCATTGCAAGTAGTTGACACATGTTCATCATTGCGTAGATGTGGTTTTAAAAAAGGAAAGAGAGATATTGATTCCACTAGTCTTTAGGGTTTGGCCAACCATTTCAAGATGAAAGTAAAACAGAAACACAACACTATTTCGAATTGTCGATTATTCCTTGATATCATAATGTGATGCAATACCGTTCTATTCTTGGAATCGGCAGGGAGATAATATTGTTCTGGTGCAGCAAAATTTACTCAAAATCAATATGCAAAAGATCAATATGTGGAAGATCAGTTTCTAGAAGATCAGTTTATAGAAGATCAACTTGTGGAAGAGGACAAAATCAATGAAGAAAACAAAAGAAAGTCACTAGAAAATTTAGATTCAGCGCATCCACAGCCGGATTCAAAAAGAATGCATCAATTTGAAATTGTGCTCATGCTCCGAGTGGACCATACAATGAATTACCGGGAGCTCAAGCGATTAAAAAATACAACAATTTGTATGATTCTACTCCGACTTCCGTTGTTGTTGATGATATAGATCTAGTATATCTAGGTATGCTCAACCATTACTTTGTTAAAAATAAGATAGAAGCTACGGTTCTTAATAAGTTACTCCGTGAGGGGGAAACACGTAGAGAAAACTTAAGCCGTCAATATATGGGACTGCCTCTGAATTGGAGAGGTCGAGTGTTTGTTATGAAACAACGCCGAAAGGACAATAGCATTTATGAAATATTTGAAAAAGCTACCGTCACTTTCCTCAATTAATAATATGTATGAAATTCCGAAAACAATTTATCGGCTACCGGTATTCTACAATAAAAGGACCTCCGATTCTTCCCTTCATGGGCTTATGTTATTCCTTCCGTGGATCCTCAAACAGCCTCTTACATTTGTTGAAGTCAATAAATGTGTGTTTGTTGGTTACCATGTCACTGGTTTTGATTCAAACCTCGACAGGTAAGAAGAACCATGTGTATTAATCAGGACTCTAAGTGTTACTACAATTTCATCTCTTGCGTTGGTTTTTGACCTGTAAAATCTAAAGTTTTCCCTGTTACGGGACTCTATATTCGTTTCAAGCATCGGGAATCAATAAGAGAAGCATAGCACCTATATCACAATTAGTTATACTTTGGAAATTTTGAAAAAATGCAGTTTGAATTTAGTATACGATTAGCAAAATAGGAGGAAAACTGATGTCTAAAAAGAAAATTCACTTGTACCAAAAACATGGGAAACCAACAAACGGGAGACTCTAAGGCCTTGTTTTGTTGAAAGGAGGGGGAAGGGGAGAGTCAAGGAGGGAAGAGAAGGGGAAGGAAGGATTTTTATAAAAAATTGTGTTTGGTTGGAGGAAATAGGAGGGAAGGTTTAATGAAAATATTTTCACAATTTACTTTTATTTGATAGCTTACTTAAAAAAATAGATACATGTCTAACTATTGTGAATATTACTCATGTGGTCATGAGTCATAATTTTATTTTATTTGATTTTTTACTTTTTAAATTTTATAATTTTTCATTTTTCAGTGTGGAATTTTTAATTTTTTATATTTATTTATTAAATATTTTTATTTTTAATTTTTAAAATTTTAATTTTTTAATTTTTTAATTTTTTAATTTTTTAATTTTAAAATTTTTTTCTTTAAATTTTGAAATTTTTTAATTTTTTAATTTTTCAAAACTTTTTGTTTTTTAACTTTTATATTATAACATTTTGTTCAATCACATAGGAGATACAAGTTTGTGTTTATAGACATGTTTCCTCAAAAAAAAGGTTATCATTCCCTCACAAACCCTCTAACCAAACATGGCCTTGGGAAACATAATCCAATTTCCTAACCCTTCATTTGTTTTAAGCTCAAAAAAAGGTTAAAATAGGAAAACCAATCAAGCATAAACGATTAATTCTTTACTTAATTCTGAATTGTTTACTTTTTAATTAATCAAGAAAACCTAGAAAATAAACCTGGATTAGTTGGTGAGAAGGTTATCGCAGATGAAGTTCGCTGCGTAAGATGAACTGTGGTTTGATGTCGCCCAAATTCTGATGGATGGGCGTGGTACGAAGAAACAGATCCCAAAGGATAGCAGACGGAGATATGAGAAGATATCTTTGCGAGTAGCGGATGTCGTTAACCGTACCAATAGGATAGAAGACGGAGATAGGCGGTTAATAGAAGAACGCACAATAGGCTGATCGCAAGGTACAACCGGGTAAAAGCATTGATAACAGCATTCACAATGGTTAATTTTTCGCGATCGGTGCCATACAATCGGAACCCGCTGGAGGAGAAAATCAAAACCTGATTGCGTTCGTTTAGAGGACTAGACTAGAGGAGGTTGAACAGCATTCAACACAGAAGCCTTAAGCCATGAACGCAACATTGTGTACTGAGATGTAATGCAGGGAGTGGCAAAAAGGAGAGAACAAGATCTAAGTTTGAGATTAGAACAATAAGACAGAAATGCTGACTAGGCTTCAGATATGTCCAAATAAAAATACTACATCCCTACAATAATTGTAAGGGTTCACTTTTTACGTTTGTTTATCACAAGTTTGATCATTAGTTTTTGGGGAAACTATCAAATAAGTCCTCGTACTATATCGAAAAAGTCGATTAGGCCCCCGTGCTTTACAAACACTCAATTAAATCCTCGAACTATTAAAAAACGTTCAATTAAGCCTTTTTGGTGGGTAAGTAACCGATTTCACGGTTAAACGACGACGATGGTGACGATGTGCTCGAACCCCAGCAACGCCGGCTTCCGGAAACAGGTTACATTTAACCGGGAAACCGGTTACTTACTCACCGAAAGGGCTTAATTGGACGTTTTTTAATAGTTCGAGGACTTAATTGAGTGTTTGTAAAGTACGAGGGCCTAATCAACTTTTTCGGTATAGTACGAGGGCTTATTTGATAGTTTTTCCTTAGTTTTTTTATTCTTTATTTGTATTAAAATTTTAAAAAAAAATAGATTTTAAAAATTTAAAATAAGAGAAATTTAACAATATTTTTTCAAATTTAATTTATACTGTAGTAATACATTAATAAATAAAATATAATCAAAGTAAAACATGTGAATAGTGTAAAAAGATCAATGTTGTATTTAAAAGAGAAGGGAGGTACCGCCATGGTAATAAATAAATAAAGAGTGGCCATGAAGGAGGTCCACTACGACGTTTGTTCATCTCACGAGGGTCCTTTCAGTATGTCCTGGCGCCTCGTCGTCCAAGGCTATTTCTGGCCGACGATGGCGCGGGATTGTGCAAATCTTGCAAGGAAGTGTACTGCGTGCCAAGTACTCCATAAGGCCCCTGGCTGACCAGCCGTCAATTACGCCCCGGGTACCATGCCGAGGAGGGCAACGGGCGAAACACCCTTTGCCTTATGCTACGGTTTTGAGGCGAAGGCACCCACAGAGGTCACCATTCCCAGCCGACGGGGTGGAGCAATATGAGCCCGAGGCTAACGAACAAAACATGAAGATCGACCTTCACCTGGTTGAAGAAAGACGTGAGCAAGCCTTCATCCGGGCAGAAAACTACCGGCGTCAAGTAAAATCATACTATGACGCCAAGGTACGCTCCCGGGAATTCCAGGTGGGGGATTATGTCCTCCGCCGAAGGGAGGCAAGCAAACCGACGGAAGGTGGCAAGCTAGCACTGAAGTACGAAGACCCTTACATCGTCAGCGTCGTAGTGAAACCCGACACCTAAAACTCAAGCACCCAAATGGGTCTAATGTACCACGAACGTGGAATGTACATCACTTGGAATGTACCCATCAATTGATACTTAGAAATTTTTCTAAAAGCATGAAATAATAAGACAAGCACAAAACGAAGAAGACACTAATGCCGGGAGAGCAAAACACAGACTTTCATTCAGGCATTCAAAGTACACAAAGAGGGGCGCTACGGCCATTACATACCAAAAACAAAAACATCTAACTACAATTACAAAGGAAGCCAGCTGATCAGCTCTCCTGGGCCGACCTCATCGGCACCTTGCTCCGCACCGGCCTGCTCGACCGCAGCTTCGGCACCCTCCTCCATCTCCACATCCACGCTGGTTTCAGTCGTCGAGGCAGCTATGTCGGCCAGGTGTGACACTCCAAAAATTTTAATAAAAATAAAAAAAAATTATTATTGAAATAAAAGGTTACCTTAACTGTTATGACTTTTAATCAAATAAAATGTTACGGAAATGATATTTTTATTATTAAGTGAGGCAAAAAAAAATTCAAACAGTTGTGACATTCCAACTAGATAAAAATATCTCCAAGCTTACGACGTTTTAGTCAGATAAAAATGGCCCGATAAAAGAAGTGACGTTTTTATATTAATGAAGTACCAATTATACAAATGGTATAAGTAATAAGTAATAAAATAATAATAAAACTCCTAATAAGTCAAATACACTTACGTAATCATAATAATAAAGTATAATTAGGCTACACAACTAAAAAGTAAGAATTGTACATTATTAAACTACTACTTACGTACTTCACTAATAATACGTACTCCTATATTATAAAATACTCCTACCGTCCTACGTACTACATTAACGGAGATATCTACGAACAAAGCTTCGTATAACAATTAAACTTGAAGAACTGCGATATTATCTCCGGCCAAACTGATCCAGATAGATCGGATATACTCTAACAAAGATAAGAACGAGTTCTACACAAACTCTAACACAGTCTAGACCCTCGACCTACGCCTATAAATAGCTACCCAGGCCTTTGTTTTAACCCACTCTGAGAGCAGAACTTGATCAATATATACATACATATTTACGTATATATTTATACATACAAATTTTCGACCCTTCGTTTTAGCCAAAACAAAGCCTTAAAACCCATTCTAAAGCCTTCCCCTTCGTAAGAGGAATCCAACGGCGAAAGAATCATAGAAAACGGTCGTGAAATGAGGGAGAAAAAGCCTCACCGGAGTTCGCCGGAGTGGCCGCCGGACTGGTTTTACGACGAAGAAGGAGTAACTGCCGCTGCCGCCAACCAACCACCGATCTTCGCCGTCCCAGAAGGAGCCGTTAGCACGGCCGTTTCGCTCGTCCAACGAGGTGAGTTCTCCCCCCCTGCGCATCCCGTTCCGGCGAATGCAATGAAGAAGACGATGGTCTTCCTTCATTCTTTTTAGTTGGGCTGATTTCTACTTTGGGCTTGTTGTTATTTTGGGCCAGTCCGGCTCAGTTGCAATAAAAATTAAAAATAAAATCGTAAATGAAATAAATAAAATCTGGAAAAATATAAATTAAATACCTAGTATAAATATACGTATTCGGACCAACCAGAATTGAAAAATAATATTTTTAGCTATTTTTAATGGATTTAATTGTATTGGGGCCAATTTATACACATTTAGTAAATAATTAACTAAGTGACGAATTAATTATGAAATAAATATTGGAGTAAACTAGGATAAATATATGACTAACTAGAACCTTATGGACCATTTATATTTAATAAAAATAAAGATTTAGTATATTTAATTGTAATTGAACCGGTTATTAGATATATGAAATTAAAGGAATAATTATGGGAAATAATTATAAAATAGATATCTGGACAACCTAGGTCAAATATAGACCCAAAATATAATTATAGACGGTTATTAATTTATAAAGTCAACTCTTAGTCTATTTATTTAAATTGGGCCATATAAAACTAGATAAGTAATTAAATAAGGAAATATTTATATTAATGGTGAAATAAATAAATCACTGAGATTGAAAAATAATATTCTGGACTAAAAATAATGTTGGAATAAAATAAGGAAAATAAAATAAGGTTGGGTTAGCTGACATAAATAATCGGCTATATGTAGACTTAATAAATAACTTAGTTATGTAATTAGTGGAATAATTCAATTAATAATTTTTATGATTTATTATTAGATATTCGGACTTCGTATAAATATTTAAAATATTTGAATTCATAAATTAATGGGTTAATATAAATAAAGTAATTAATTAATAATTTATGAGTAGAGTAAATTAATGGTGATTATTGAATAAAAATTGGATGTTGTAGTTAATTATATTCGGATATTTTATTTAATATTAGAATTCAAATATTGTAATTAATGGCTGAATTAATAAGATAATTTGATTAATAAAAAGTGATTAATCAAATAAATTCGAATAACTAATAAATTAAGTTAATAAATTCGAATAAGGAAATAAAAGGGGAAAATTGAATAAATAATTTATAAATAGAATAAGTGACTAATTATATCATCTAAATTAAAAAGGTGAATACTTAGAGACCGGAACTGAAGAAGAGAATTAGGAGCATCGGGATTTAAGGTAAGTTTCACGTCAACCGATATTAGTTATTTTTCTTCGTGATTTCTTTGAATATTTTTGTATGCATATTTGAGAATTGAATTTATGTGTGCTGAATTTTATTAAATATCAATATACGAAAAGGTTGTATTTGAGATATTAGTTGATACATTGGTTTGTTAATATGCGTTATTGTATACGATTTTGGGAGATTTTGCAATATTACGTAGTTTGTTATCTTTGTGGGAGTATGATGAAAAAGAAACTTTTGAGGGATAAACTTTGATTGATTTTGAGAAAAATAAACATTTTCATAAAAGGTGGGCATCACGGGAGAAATCCGTGGTGTTGGTTTTCCACGTCCCTTAAAATGTGGAGGATGGTTAGGTCTACTACTACTCAATTTTTGGTTGTGTTGGTTTGAGGTGAATTGTCGGTCGGTAGAAAACATCCCGGCTTTTGAGTAACAGGGGTAGTAGTAGCTCCTAATCATTCAGGTTTTGAGGTGAGGTAGTTGGTAGAAAACATCCCGGCTACCCGGATCGACTTACTAACCCGGAGGGCTTGGAATACCTTTAGGGGGTGTGCACACTTAAAGTAGTTGCTTCCGTTTCCAAGGAGCAGTTGTGGTACCGGCGATAGTTCCGGGGTGGCCGTATATAACAACGGACCACCGGACTCAACCAAAGTGTTGAGCACCGCCCTTCTAAATTACTAGGAAGTTAGATACAAAGTGATTTTGGGAGAAATTCAAAAGAGAAGAATTTTGGTGTTTCATGAATTTTGGTATTATTATGGTTTACGAGTTAATGATGTGATTGGGATTTTTTATAGATATCGTTTACTTATGATTTATGGTTTATAAAGTGTTGGAAAATATTTCATGAGGTTGTACGAATTTTATATATATTATTTATTATTATTTTAAAAGGTTAGGTGGAACTTACTTAGCATTATTGCTAATGGTTGTTTTCTTTTATTTTTCTTGTGCTCGTATTTAACAGGAGGTGATCATGTTGATTTTGATGCTGCAATGTTTGAGAGCGCGAATTAGAAGACAACTATGTAGTTCACTAGAAATAAACTTTAATATTTACTTATGATTCGAACATCTTGATTTTTGTTAAACTCGTGTTTTGGTAGATAGCCTTAGCATCCAATCATTCACGGATTGGATGTGGCGGTGACATGCCCCGTTTACTTAGTTTTTATTAATTTCCGCTGCAACTTTTGAAGTTTTAATCATTAAATAAAAGTTCATCTCTATTTCAAAGTATTATTTTGGGTGGAAAATTCGGGGGTGTCACAAGTTGGTATCAGAGCCTTTAGGTTTTCTGAAGAGACTAGATCACGAAGTAATAGGTCGAAGGGAGAAATTCTGTCACAAAGACGATAACAGTCTAAGCTGGTTGGTGCCTAATTGAGCCTTTGCGCTCGTCCAACTAACTGGGAATTTCTCCTTGTGCTGAAACTTCGTTGTTCGAAATCTTTGATGAAAACCGTGGGAATCATACCTTCAAGTGGAGATCCTTGCAAAATATTTTTATCAAATTTAGGAAATGAAAATGATTAAAGAAAGACCTTTCTAGGGCCGCGGTGAGGATGATTTTGTATTGCTTCTATATGTTGAACAAATTTCCTAATACTTATGTGATCATTTGTATGTCGGATTACGTTATGATTTAATGTGCATAGCAGCTTGATTACTAGACAATACCTTAGCACTTAAGTACTTTTCTTTTAGAATATGCCGCCTAGGAGAGAAGTCCCCACAACACCAACTAATGCTGAGCTGGCGCTGACCATGCAACATTTTGCTCAAACGTTAAGCACCGCGTTTCTCCAGAACCAGCAAACCAGCAATGACGCCTCTAAGAGGGTAGCAGCTCGGAATCCACCGAGTTACCAAGGTCAAGAGGATCCTCTCATCCTTGAAGACTGGATACGCTCCTTTGATAAGTTGTTCGAGGCAGTTAACTGCCCGGTGGAACAACGAGTTGACATCGCCGCCTACTACTTGCATCAGGAGGCCGACAACTGGTGGGCCACTGATGGACCAGCCTTACGTCAGCAGCCAAATCTTTCTTGGGAGTCATTTAAGGAGGCTATGAGGGAAAGATTTTATCACGAACATGTCAAAGCAGAGAAATATGAGGAGTTTTTGTATCTCAAACAAGGAGATATGTCAGTCTAGGACTATTACGCCAAGTTTGTGGCGTTAGCTCGGTTCGCGCGTGCTCTAGTTCCGGACGAGAACAGCAAGGCCCGAAAATTTATCCATGGCCTGAATTTCGACACTCAGAAGGCTGTAAGTGTGCTAGGATGCCAGACGTTGAACGAAGCCTATACGAAGGCTGCTCTTCACTATAGGGTTCAACGACTTCAACGTGATGCTTACAAAAGGAACAAAAGAGGTGACGACGATGACCAACCACCAAGGGAGAAGAGAGGTAGACCCAATCCCACTGAACAACGAACACAATGGCGGGGAGATGATCGCAATCGCAATCAAGGAGGAAGGAACTTCCAATGGAAAAGTCCGACGGGTGAACGATATTATCATTGCAAGTTATGCCAAAAGAATCATCCTGGACGCGATTGTGCGGGCAATGCAGTGAAATGTTATGATTGTGGCCGGATGGGCCATAGAGCATATGAGTGTCACGTGGGAAAAGGGAGGGTTCCCCAGAATCAGGGCCAAATCAACAAAGGAGGCAATCCTGGAGGAAATAGGCCAGGAGGTGCAGAGAATCCTAACCACAACGCTCGTGGGAATGGGGGAAACCACAAGGGCAACAACAACACCCCTAACCAAGGCAAGATCTACGTGATGAATCAAGCTCAAGCTAATGCCTGTGACGTGGTTTCAGGTACCTTTCAAGTGAACTCCATGCCTGCTTATGTTCTTTTTTATTCTGGTGCTTCTCATAGTTTTATATCTTCAAGCTTTGTTAAGAAACTGGGAATAGAACCCACTACTAGAATAGAATTGAATGTAAAAACGGCAGCTGAAAAAGTTGTGGCTTGTGGGAATGTGTACTCAAATGTACCCATACTCATAAGTGACACCAATCTCCCTGGAGACTTGATTCAATTCGATCTAGAAGACATAGACGTGGTGCTTGGCATGGACTGGCTCGGAAGATACGAAGCAAAAATTCTATGTGGCGAGCAGAAGGTAGTCATGAAGGGCCCGAATGGGAAGAGAGTATCCTACAAAGCTGTGACCACCACCCCGGGAGTAAAGCTGGCAACAATACAACAAATAAAGCGCTACGTTCAGAAGGGATGTGAAGCATACTTGTGCATAGTCAAAGACTCAAAGGTGGAGGAGAAGACCATTGACCAAATTTCCGTGGTCAATGAATTCCCGGACGTGTTTCCTGAAGAGATTCCGGGGATGCCTCCAGAAAGAGAAGTGGAGTTCTCCATTGACTTGATGCCCGGGACTGCACCAATCTCGAAGGCACCCTATCGAATGGCACCAAAGGAGATGCAAGAACTGAAGGAACAACTTCAAGACCTGCTGGAGAAGGGTTATATCAAACCAAGTGTCTCACCCTGGGGCGCTCCGATGTTATTTGTCAAGAAGAAAGATGGAAGCTTGAGGTTGTGTGTTGATTACCGGGAACTGAATCAAGCAACTATCAAAAACAAATATCCACTTCCGCGCATTGACGATCTGTTCGATCAGCTGAAAGGAGCAAGTACGTTTTCCAAGATTGACTTGAGATCCGGTTATCACCAAGTAAGGATTGCCGAGAGGGACATTCCAAAAACGGCATTTCGAACGAGGTACGGACATTATGAGTTCACTGTAATGCCGTTCGGCTTAACTAATGCCCCTGCTGTATTTATGGACCTAATGAATCGTGTGTTCCGACCCTACCTCGACTTGTTCGTAGTAGTGTTCATTGATGACATTTTGGTGTATTCAAGGACACCTAGTGATCACGAGGAGCATCTCAGAACCGTACTTCAGACTCTGAGAGACAACCAGCTCTACGCCAAATTTTCAAAGTGCGACTTCTGGAGGGATCAGGTAGCATTCTTGGGCCACATCATCACCCAAGAAGGTGTCTCGGTTGATCCATCAAAAGTTGAAGCGGTGATAAGTTGGCCTGCACCCACCACGGTGACAGAGGTTCGAAGCTTCCTAGGTTTGGCTGGGTATTATCGAAGATTTGTGAAAGATTTCTCAAAGGTAGCAAGGCCTTTGACCAACCTCACAAAGAAGACCACTAAATTCCTGTGGAGTAGCGAGTGTGAAGAAGCTTTCCAAGAGCTGAAGCGGAGGTTGACAACCGCACCAGTCTTGACCCTACCATCCGGAACAGAAGGGTTTGAGATTTACAGCGATGCTTCATTGAAAGGGTTAGGTTGCGTTCTGATGCAAAATGGAAAGGTGGTGGCCTATGCATCAAGGCAACTAAAGACTCACGAAGTCAACTACCCTACGCATGATCTAGAGCTAGCGGCGGTGGTTTTCGCCTTGAAACTTTGGAGGCAATACTTGTACGGGGCACAATGCAAGGTTTACACTGATCATAAGAGCCTCAAATACATATTCACGCAAAAGGAGCTCAATATGCGGCAACGGCGATGGCTAGAACTTGTCAAAGATTACGACTTAGTGATTCAATACCATGAAGGAAAAGCTAATGTCGTGGCAGATGCTCTAAGCCGTAAGTCGATGCATTCTTGTAGAGCAACATGGATTCTACCCAACGAGCTATGGCGAGACTTCCAAAAGCTAAATTTGGAAGTGAGAGAATTCGAGGAGGTGGATAATGAGATACGGTTATGTTCTATGACCGTTACCCCATCACTCTATGAAGAAATAAAAGCGGGACAACCTGGAGACGTTAAGTTGGAGCGAGTCAAGTCCGGAATGATAGACGGAATCAATGGACCATTCAGGATGCATGATGACAGTAATATTCATTATAAAGGCAGGTGGTGTGTCCCTATGAAATGTGAGCACATCAAAAAGCAAATCATGGAAGAAGGACACAACATGCCTTATTCGGTACACCCAGGTGGGGATAAATTATACAAAGACTTAAAGAAGAAATTCTGGTGGCCGCGAATGAAGAAAGAAGTGGCGGAATTTGTAGCCAGATGCCTTAACTGCCAGAAAGTCAAGGCTGAGAGATGCAAGCCCAAGGGACTCATGCAACCCTTAGAAGTGCCAACGTGGAAATGGGACTCGATCTCGATGGACTTTGTCGTAGGGTTACCCCTAACAAAGTCTGGAAAAGACAAAATTTGGGTGATCGTCGATAGACTTACCAAAACTGCGAGATTCATTCCCATGAATGAAACTTGGAGTATGGATAAGCTGGCTAGAGCTTACATCCAACACGTGGTCAAATATCATGGTGTGCCTCGAGATATTGTGTCTGACCGAGACTCCCGTTTCTTATCACAATTCTGGAGGGAATTGCAAGCGGCTATGGGGACCAAACTAAAGCTAAGCACTGCATTTCATCCTATGACGGACGGACAGACGGAGAGAACTATCCAGACACTTGAAGATATGCTGAGAGCCTGCATACTAGACTTGCAGGGTTCATGGGATGAACACCTAGACTTGATAGAGTTCTCGTACAACAACAGTTACCATCCACCATCAGACAAGTTAATTATGAATCTTCCCAATCAGACTCCCATCCATCATCTCCAATTTCCTCATCACCTGGATTGTCATCTTCATTCAATAAAGAAGTTGATACTGATTCTGGGTCAGATTTTTCAAAACGACCAATAGGGGTAAAAAAAGAAAAATTGAAGAAGAAAATGATGAAGACACTACTGATTTGCTTAAGTCAGTTAAGAGCGACAATGAGCAACTTATAGAGATGCTGAAGAAATCATCGTTAGATCCACAGGAACAATTGCAAATCCAGCGACAAAATATGGCATACAAAGAACAGAAAAGAGAAGATAAAATTATGTTCATGGATTTGAATTCTATTCACGATCCACAAACGCGAGCGTATATCATTGCAGAAAGATCAAGAATTTTACAAAAAAATCTCAAGAAGGAGGATCATCAGTTGGATTTGGGAATCTATTTGATGGACTTGGAAGCTCTGGATGCGGGTTGAATGATTACTAAATTCTAAATTAGTATGTACTATGTATGTTTTTTATTATGTTTTAATTTTTATTATAATGGTGTTATTAATTGTAATTTTAATTATGTTATTTTCTTATGTACCATTTGTTTTCTGTTATTATGTTGTTTGGATTTGAATCTTTATTTATAATATTGTGTGATTTAAATGTTATTATATTATTTTTATCAAATTAATTGTTTTGATTGTTGTTGTACAAGGATGTTTTTACTTGGACTGTAATTTGTTTCAGATCAGATCAAATCGGATAAGACCAGGCCACATCAATTCAGACCAGACCAGACCAAATCAGACTGGATCAATAAATTTCAGTCCAAGTAAAACTTCCTAATTTGTTGTTTTAAAAATGAATCAAAACTGTAATAACCAAAACTTTGGGTCACATTTGAAAGAAAAAAAAAACACAAAAAAAGGATAGTGCAAACTACCATTTTGAAATGGTGTCAAGTTTGGTGTTATTGTTGGAGCATTTTTTTGCCAAATACACCATTTTGGTGTTTAAAATTTTGCCAAATACACCTGAATCTTCTCATCTCAAACTTGAGATCTTGTTCTCTCCTTTTTGCCACTCCGTGAATTACATCTCAATACACAATGTTGCGTTTATGGCTTGACGCATCTGTGTTGAATGCTGTTTTGGATGCTGTTCAACCTACTTTAAACGAACGCAATCCGGTTTTGATTTTCTCCTCCAGCGGGTTCCGATTGTATGGCACCGATCGCGAAAAATTAACCATTGTGAATGCTGTTATCAATGCTCAGAATGATATCAAATCTAGTGATCCTGACACTGGTTACAATGACCGAAAGATTACCATGCGGTTGAATATGAATCGTTTGACTGCAATTTGCAGGGCTAATTGCCCTGACTTCATCTGCATCGAGGTCAACCAAGGAGAGAAGACCATCTCTTTCAAGGCCGGTATGTTTTCATTTTTGTACTCGATTTGATGTTGTTGTTGTTTGCTTGATTGCTTGTGACTTTGCAGCTTTAGACGCGCCGCCCGCTACCTTGAAGTATCTTGAGCTTCCGGACTCTTACATCTGTAGGCCACAAGTTATGGAATTGGATTATCATGCCACTGTGAAACTCCCATCAACTATGTTTACTAGGATTATCGGAGAGATTTGCTGCACTGGTGGGTGTGGTAAGATCGCTCGTAACGTAGATCCCAGATTGGGAGAATCGGGAGCTTTATCAGTTCCTGATCCTGAACCTAGCAGCCTAGCGGATGATGAATGTAAGGATTTGGGGAATGAAATGTTTTATTGATCTTTATTACAGCAGTACTATTGTACTCCGGTAGCTGTCTTCTTCTGAAGGCTAACGTAATCTTCTTTTCAGTGATGATATCTGTGACCAATGAAGGCATTAAGTTCTCTATCCGAGGTTATTTTGTATTTGTTAAGGTGGGTGTATGCATTCTGGGTCAGAGCATTTTTTATTAACTTGATTCTCTGTTTACCAAGCCAACTTGAGCTCCATAGACGGACTCTGATGATGTTTTGTTCTTTCCATTCCAGCGGGACGAAGCACTCTCCTTCAAGATCAAACAACCGGTGTCCTTAACTCTTGAAGCTGACCTTGTGGAACGGTTAATTTATGCTAGTATTCAGTCTGAGTCAGTAACCATGCGTCTTTATCCAGAGTTTCCTCTTCGGTTCCAATTCAGAATTGATAATGGGCAGATGTACATTGACAGCGGAAATGCCCGTATCGTGGGTACGAGAGAGTGCACATTTGGGCATCAGAAGTATACAGTGCAGGCCATATGTGACGATGGGCCCAGTATAAAAAATCCAGAGGCGAAAAAGGATGTAGTGTGTTTTGATGTGGCAGTGATACCTGATTCTGGTAAAAGTTACTGTAGAATATATAGTTGATATGAAATGTCTGTAAGAGGCCTATCTCTTTCTGTTCACTACAATATTTTAATTATGTAACAATATTACAGGAAGGGTTAGAAGCTTCGGTATGAAAAGTACTCCCTCCGTCCCGGAATTAATTTCATTTTTTCTTTTTTGGTCCGTCCCAAATTTATCTCCTTTTTCCTTTTTTGGTAACGAATATGTGGTTCACAATCATTCTTACACATTTCTCTCTCCTCTGCATAACTCTCCACCACACAAATCTCACTATCTTAAACCCCGTGCCCGGTCAAAACCGGAATTAAATATGGGACGGAGGGAGTAACTGTTATAGTTACTTTAGAAGACTTCGTTTGAGATTGATGTTTTGGTATAACAATGTTGTTCTCCTGAAACAGTCTAGAAGAATCATTGCTAGTAGTACGTTTGGGATTACTGTTATAGTTAAAGACATCTAGCTCGTCATTAATTTGACTTTCCATAATCCTGCTCTTGTACCTAAATTGCATGAATTAGTGGTCTTTCTGTTTTGATAGGAAATGTGATGGGTGGTATTAAACTTATTTGGGTGGACAGGGTGGTATTAAGCTTATTTGAAATCTAAATGTGTTAAATAGTGTGCTTTCTCTAAACATTTGTGTATTTGTTGGAGTAGTACCTATAAATTTTGTTGTGATTCTTAGTTTTAGAGCTATTTACTTGTTTTTTTTTTGAAACAAACTTGTGGACATGTTGTAGAAGAGTTGGAGATTGACACATGAATCATATTGCAACATTAGTTAGTTTTCAACACTACTCAACTTTTTTCTCATGTGTATCAACCTACTAGTATGTAATAACATATTTTTTGTAGAAGATGTTAATATCGTCGGTGCTTTCAAAGAATTTAAAGAGGCCCAATATATTTATTATTTTTGTAATTTGAGGCAAGATTTTTTTAAATATTATACGTACATTTCACATATATATTGTATTGCTTTTATTCTCTATCCTCTTTTCAAAATTGCTGGTTATAAAAGATTTTTAGGGTACTATTATAGTTGTTTTTACGCCGAATTGTCTATGCATGACGATCACCCGATTGTTGTTCGAGTGCAATTTTTATCAGGTTAATAATACATTTCATAATTGGAAGCGAGGTTCAAAATGAGGATTTGTAACTGGTTTTAAATATTCAAAACCCTTTAAAAACAAGTGGAAATTATCGGTATGGTCCACTTTTATGCACCCATATCATTTGTGTCTCACGTGCTTTCTCTTTTCACTTTACACTTTTCGATTTTCAATTTAGATTTATTATTTATTTCACTTATAGATAAGTTTTGTCGATCTCCTTCGTAGTATGTGAGATGCACAATGGAGCTAACGACAGGCCTGGAGATCAGAGTTTCTCGTCTCTAATCGCCGATTGATCGTTCTGATGGCCTCCTGACCGAGAAGAAAGAGTGGGTTCCTCCAAGTGCTTCTGTCAGGGCCGGTCGAGGCCAAGTGCTACCAGTCCATTCACACAGGGCCCATAATTTTAGAAGGGCCCAAAAAAAATTAGTACAAGTATTACATAGCTCTCAAGCCCAAGTCCAAGGAATACTAAGCGACAAGGCCAAGCTGAAGTAGTCTACCGGCTTGAGAGGGATTCCATGGACTTCCAAGGTTGACGACGCCTCTTTCTGTCCTTCGCCGCCAGCCCGCCACCGCGCCCCGCCTAGGAGGCCAGACCAGGAGGCCACTAGTCCATCCCGGACCAGACGTTCGAGATGGTCGTCCACTGATTCAGCTCACGAAAATCACAACTTGTCCGCCTCACCGATTCATCGGTCACTGGCTCACGACACTCAACCCCTTTCCGCCTCTCTGCCTTGGTAGTCGGTAACTCGTTAAGCCCTAAGCACATATGAATTTCTTAAGTTTTTCTTTTTATTTTCAATTTAGGTTGTTATTACTTGTTTATTTATTGAAGTTATAATGTAATTCAAATAACCCTCGGTTACCCCTTTTACTTTTAACTGTACTTACTTTACATAGAGTCAAGTAGTCGGCCCGTGGGCCCATATTCATTTAGAATTCATTATTTTCTTTCCCCCGTGACTGCATGTCACGATAATCCCGTAGGGTCCCATCTAGCAAGGGCTCGGCCCAACTACATTTCTATAAAATCCTCTAATTCAATTTAACGCATTAAAATTGTATGGAAAGGGCTCGGCCCAACTACGTTTCCATACCAACCATAACTTCGTGGCAAGGGCTCGGCCCAACTACGTTTCCACGGAGATCACATATACATGGCAAGGGCTCAGCCCAACTACGTTTCCATGCTAATCACATTACATGGCAAGGGCTCGGCCCAACTACATTTCCATGCAATCCTAGAGTCCAAGTCTACTTTATTTTCATAGTCCAATTCTCAAGCAAATCCTATGCCTAGAATCAATTCACTTGGGTAGCCTTTAGGCCTACCCCTACCACACCTTAGTGTTCATACAATTCAACCTTAAAGTATCTCTTAAGACTACTTAAGGCATACCCATTTACAATCCTATCTCTTAGGATTAATTCCATCATTTATTTATATTAATCTCCCGACTAGTATTCCAACACTAGTCGGATAATCTTAGAACCACCAAGTTCTTAATTCATAGTCAATTAATTCATCTCAATTGATTTTCCAATCCAAATATAAATTAATCCAAATATCAAAAATATCACTTTTAACCATTCATGAATTTCATACATGAAGTAAAAGTATATTTTATCACAATATTATCATAGTTAATTTCATCATCATACCATCACTTTCATATCACATAATCATACACAATTTATTCTAAATTTGTATATCATGCTTCACTTTTTCACATTCAATAGTATTTTCATTTAGGCATTATTATTCATTAATAATCCATGAAAATCACATTTAATAACTTAGGTAATCTTACAAAATTAACCCAACAATTATAAGCAATATAGTCAGTCATCCTCACCTCGTGATGTGCTACAATAGTTGCCTTTGTTACGCCCCTCGATCAATCCCCGTTCTAGGCCGATTGAAAGTGGAAAACTGGACTGCTGGGCAAAAGCCGGGCGGCTTTCACGAAAGCCGGGCGGCTTTCGTAGTCTGCAACTACGAACAGCTTGTTTGGAGTGGCGGTTTCCGGCGATTACGACTCCTAACGATTCACCAACTCTTCTAAGTTAATTACCCCCACTTTATAACAATATTCTACACTTTTAAACGTGTAGAACATCATGTTTAATCCACCATATGATTTCTTAAAAATCATACAAGAATAAACTAATTAAAAGACTAATAGTAGAGCTCTTACCTTGAACCCAACTATTTCTTGTGGATTTTCTTAGCTTCCTCCTTCCTTCAACTAATGTTTTGAGGTCTTTTGTTTTTCCTTGCTCTCCTTTCTTGTTCTGGCCGAATGTCATATGCTAGGGGGGAGTATCTTCTCCCAATCAATAGCAAAGAGGACAAAGTAGGACATGGAGACATGGGCTTTTATCTCAATGAGACTTCCCACCTCACATCCGTATGATTCACATGCATCCACCCCCATTCCCCATTATTTGGTCAATCTGAGCATCTAAAAACGTGGGATGCCCCCCCCCCTTATGTGGGAGGTCATCTCATTATGTCCCGGTGTGTACAATCGACCCCGAAAATTGTATTTCTTGGACTGTTTTAATTATATTTTATTTTATCGGGCCGGATAAAATATATCACACGTTTCTAATAATTATGGGCCTTTAGAATAGATGTACATTCCCCAACATTCATCTGGGAGTCTTCGAAATTCATTTCGGGCTGTTATCCGATAAATTACCAATACCGATAATTGGGCCTCGTTTGACCCACAGGTCAACTTCATGCCCTTTCCATGGCCCATCTAAAATATCCACCACCATATACATATTATCTAGACCGAGATGAATGTAATATGTGGTTCAAGAATTATCGGACGGCCCTCGCTCCCGGTGTGGGCCCCACCTGAAATTTACTATTCACGTAAAAGAAATAATACAAATTTACAATCACGCAAATTCATAAATCATCCTTCAAGGTTTATTACATAATTTACTAAAAGTAAATATGCTTGGGGACGGTGCTACACTTAAAGCTTCCGCCTCTCGCGGTAGATATTTCCCCCGCCCCGGGATAGCCTCCCCCGCTAGAAAAGATCATGTAGAGTCACGTGCAACCCATCCCATGCCGCAGCCCCCTCCCATTTGCTTCACAGACGCATCCGTGTTAATCTTTATTGTGCTCCTTAGCGGTTTTCTCCATAGCAGATCACGAGCTCCACTACTTGGAAGCAACATTTTTTGAAGCTCTTTGAGTACTTCATCCTTAATAATATGACTACTAACTAGGGATGGACTGGGACGGGTCCGACCGGCATGGGACCCAGCCAGGTACTGTTCAGTACCAACCCAGCCCGTTGACCGGGATCGGGACCGGTCCATGGGGCCCGAACCGGTGGTAGGGAGGGGCGCGCTACGAGATTGGAAAAAGTGGGACCGGACCGACCGGCCAGTCCGGGACCGATCCAGGCCGGTAACGGCTATTTTTTTTAAAAAAAATATTTGGCTGTTTCTAGTCATTGCCTCATTGGAAAAGTCCCAAACGGCTCTATGGCCGTTGGAGTGGGGGTATGGGGGTGGGGGTATGGAGGTGGGGCCGGGGTGCAAAAAAATTCTATATATACTCCTATTTTATATACATTTTTCTACACATCTTCTCCAACTCTTCCTACTCTCTAATACTCTCTAATCATCTCCATCTTCATCTTCTCTAATTCTCTCTACATCTATTAATATATATCATATCTATTTAACTTAGTTATACAACTATTATATCTACTTATATACTCCATATTATATACTTTTTATAATTATCTACTTATAAATACATATATTAATTATATTACTTATATTTATTATCTACTTAATATATACTTATTATCTACTTAATATCTACTTATTATATACTTGTTATTTACTTATATTTACATATTACATCTAATTAATATATTAAGTATATATAATAAAGTATTAAATATAAGTGTATTACTCATCTTATAGTAGTATACTTATATTTTACTACGTATATACTATAAACATTATATTATATATTAGTTATACAATTATTATATCTACTTATATACTTATTATCTACTTATAAAAACAATATATTATATCTACTCATATTTGTTATCTACTTAATACGTAGTATATACTTAATATCTACTTATTATACACTTTTTATTTACTTATATTTACATATATTACATCTAATTAATATATTAAGTATATATATATATCTATACATGTATATATTAAAGTATTAAATATAAGTGTACTACTCATCTTATATATTATATACTATAAACAATATATTAAGTATGCTTATATATTATATACTATAAACAATATATTATATATTAGTTACACTTTAATTAATATTAGTTAAATTGATCACACTCACATTCCCATTAATTAGTATACACATTCATACATTTTTGGGAAAACTATCAAATAAGCCCCTGTACTATGCTGCAAAAGTCGATTAGGCCCTCGTACTTTACACACACTCAATTAAGTTCTTGAACTATTAAAAACGTTCAATTAAGCCCTTTCGGTCGGTAAGTAACCGGTTTCCCGGCTAAATGTAACATGTTTCTCGGCAGCCACCGTTGCTAGGGTTCGAGCACATCGTCGCCGTTCAACCGGGAAACCATTTACTTACCGACCAAAAGGGCTTAATTGAACGTTTTTTAATAGTTCGAGGACTTAATTGAGTGTTTGTAAAGTACGAGGGTCTAATCGACTTTTTCGGCATAGTACGGGGTCTTATTTGATGATTTTCCGTACATTTTTCCTATTAGTTACATTTTTCATTAATATTAGTGGATTAGTTAATTGTTACATTTCTCATTTGATCACCTTTAATATTTGCTACATTTTCATTCGATTAAAATATAAAAGTAGTTACCTTTTTAGTTAATTTTACTACACTTGTTAGATTAAAATATAAAAGTAGTTGGAATTTTAGTTAATTATACTATTAAAGTAGTTGGAATTTTAGTTAATTAAACTACACTTCTTAGATTGAAGTATTTATTAAAGTAGTTGGAATTTTAATTAATTAAACTATTAAACTAGTTGGAATTTTAGTTAATTAAACTACACTTGTTAGATTAAAATATAAAAGTAGTTGGAATTTTAGTTAATTAAACTATTAAACTAGTTGGAATTTTATTTAATTAATAAACTACACTTGTTATATTAAAATATAAAAGTAGTTGGAATTTTAGTTAATTAAACTATTAAACTAGTTGGAATTTTAGTTAATTAAACCACACTTGTTAGATTAAAATATAAAAGTAATTGGAATTTTAGTTAATTAAACTATTAAACTAGTTGGAATTTTAGTTAATTTTACTACACTTGTTAGATTAAAATATAAAAGTATTTGCAATTTTAGTTAATTTCATAAAGTATTTATTAAACTACTTGGAATTTTGCTTTATTTTTACTAGTCACATTTTAATATAAAAGTCACATTTTAAATACTCCATATATTTTAATATTAGTTGCATTCCCATTTCTTGAAGTAGTTGCATTTTTAGTTAATTTTACTAAAAATAACATTTGTTATTACTTGCATTGTTTTTGTACTCATAATTAATAACATATTTGTTAGAATTTAATATTTTTTCCATTTTAAGATGGAAAGTGGTAGACATTCTGTAGATATGAGTAACCTTCAATGCAATCGAAAGAAGAAGATTGAGAGGAATCATCCTACTTCACGCAAAGGTAAAGGACATATCGGGTCTTCTTCTCAAAGCCGGGATGATTTTGAAACGGATTACCAACGGAGAGATGCGATGTCCAATGCGCAACTACAACAACTATTGGCCCAACGGGATGGACGCTTTCACCAACAACATGACATCCCCGACATTGAGGAAGAGCTCGATCGAGGATGAGGATGCGGAGGAGGATGATCCAGCGACGGTCGAGGATGAACATGACGACTCTCAAACCCCAGACGATGACACCCATGACGAGGACGATACTGGTTCATCCCAACCCGGTAAGAAAGATGAATCTCTCCTTATGAAAAATTATTTAAAAAGTGGAAGGACCCGGAGACCGAGAAGTGGTACGCCACTTGCAATCATTGTAAGAAAGGTATTAGCTTGGGGATTTCACAAGGATACGGCGGCACTGCTAGGCATATTAAAGGCCAACACCCCGTGGAGTATGTGAAATTATCTAAAGGCAAGGGGAAACAAACTCAAATATCGAGGTTTGCAACTGGTCAACCCTATGGTAATTTCTCTTATGATGATCCCAAACATGTGAATGCTATGTCTCACTTAATTGTTGAAGAAAATTTATCTTTTATTTTTTCTGAAAGTCTTGCTTTAAAAGCTTATGCGGCTGGTTCTTTGAATCCCCAATTTAGAAATTATAGTCGCAAAACGATTAAAAAAGAAGTTATAAGGCAATATGGATTGGAAAAGGCAAATTTACAAATGTTTTTCGCAAACTTCAATGGCTGTGTCACTATTTGAAGTGATATATGGGAGGATATTCATCATCATTTGTATTACTTGGGTGTGACTGCACATTATATTGATGATGATTGGGAAATGCATAAACGTGCTATTGCTTTTCGTGAATTTAATGATCGACACACCGTTGATAATATTTATATTCTCATTGAGTGTATTTTAATTGAGTATAATTTGATTGATAAGGTGTTTGCTATGGGTTTCGATAATGCTAGTAATAATACTGCTGCTATACCTAGATTGTGTGAATTGTGTGGTGCTTCTACTTTGATGGGTAGATTTTTTTCATCAACGTTGTGCATGTTATATTCTCAATATATGTGTAAAAGACGGGTTATCCACGTTAGGAGATGCTTTGGAGATAGTGAAGGAAGAATTAGACTTATTTGGGCTAGTAATCCACTAAAAATGCAATGGCGCAAATATTTGAGAGATAGAGCTGTGAAATATTGTCAATTTTCTAAAGATTTGACTATTCACTGGAATAGTACTTATAACTTAATTGTTGTACTTGTTAGATTTAAAGACCATTTTTTTGCTATTTTAAAAGAATATACTAACTATATTATAAATCCGGCTGACATCGACACTATGGAAAAAATTGTGAATGTTTTGGTATATTTTAATAATGCAACTCAAACTTTTAGTCATGTTTATAAACCTACATCAAACCAATTTTTTGTTGAAGCTGTTAATCTCGCCAGTGCTCTTTGTGAATTTTCCGATTCCCCTTATGTTCATCATTTTTGTTTTTACATGAAAGAAAAGTTTTTAAAATATTATTCACATATTCTGCATATATATGGTATTGCATTTTTTCTTGATTCTCGTTTCAGACTTAATGCTTTGCAACAATGTTTAGAGTACTATTATGCTTCTTTTTTTGGTCCATTTTCTATGTATGAAGATAAGCCCATAGATCCTAAACAAGAATACAACGAGGTTAGTAATTTATTTCATCAATTATATAATGAGTTTTATGCACAATGGTAACGCACCCCCTCCCCCGACAATGCACAATGGTAACACACCACCTCCCCCGACACGAACATCTTCTTCATCTAAAGAAAAATCACTTTTGAAATCTACATTTGGTAATCTTATGGAAAAAAAAGTAAATCAACTCCCATTGTGCTTTTTTTTATATCTAACGTTTCCTGTTGACTATGAAGAAGGGGATAACTTTGACGTTCTGAAGTGGTGGAAGGAAAAAGAAATAACGTTCTCGGTTTTACCAAAGATGGCTAAGCAAGTACTAGCAATGCCGGTATCAACAGTTGTCATGGAACAAGAATTTAGTGTGGCAGACAACGTCCTAACACATTATAGAACGAGATTAAGCGCAAAATCTCTTGAGACGTTTGTTTGCTTCCACAATTGGTTGAAGGTCCAACGTAGAACTCAAGAACTTAACATCGCCCCCACCCGCCACTTTATGGAGGAAACAACAATTGACAGTGGCGGAGATTCTGACTGATTATTATTTATTAGAAATTGTATTTAATGTAAAATATTTTTCAATTCTTAATTGTAATTCATATTTCAAATAAATATACTTTAACTTTTTTACATCTAGCACTTCTTGAATTAATTTTTAAACAAGATTTCAAAAAAAAAAATGTTCGACTCGGCCCGACCCAAGACCCGGGCAGGTAGACCGGCCCGGTCCCGGTAGAATCCCGGGCCAGTACCGGGCCTTAAGCCCAAAAAATTAGTCCTGCCCGGGCCCGTCCCAAGGCCCGGACGATCCCTACTACTAAGTACTAACAATGAGCAATATTTTACAGCGAAACATCGCAACCTTATTGGCTTATTGCATGAACTTTTTTTCTAAAACAAAATAAGGAAACTGAATGTAATGATACACACAATGATGAGAGGGAGTAATCAACTAATTTTCTGTTGGCACTGGTTAGCACTTAGCAATACCCCCTCTTTATATTTTCCCTTTTTAAAGTTTAAATAGAAGATTTGTACTTCGTATAATTGATCTCCTATCCGAATGTTTCTCCAAATGCAATAAATGAGAAGTTGGAGCAAAAAGTAATACCAGGCAATGAATCTTGTATTTCTCACAATACATTAAAAGAACAAATAGAAAGATTAAGTAAAAAAGACAGTCGTCACAAAAGTTATCAACTCCTTCACCTGAGCATCATACTGTACATAATAATAATAATATACGAAGTACTAAATACAACGGGTATACTTGTAAGAACGCACAAGCACCTCTTCTATCTTTTCTGGAAGTTGAATGTTTTAATGGCTAAGGCAAAAATGAAACCAAAAAGGACAGGCCACACAACAGTCATAGCCGCGACAACTCCAAGAAAATCATGCTTAAACCCAAAGTAATCTTCCAAGAATTGCTTCACAGTTTGATTCGAACCAACCATGTTTTCACCTTCAATATCCCCAAATTGTGATGCTACCAATCCGTACAATGTCCATGACACGGGGCACGCCCAGAAATACCATCTCCACCACACAGGCATGCTCTGTTACCAGAAAAGGACACACATAAAACGGTTAACCACATTCCTAGGACTTCATCTTAAAATGGTCGAACTTTACATGTTGATCTACTCTATCCATCTCAAGTTATTTGTAGTTTTAGCTAAAATTGTCACTAATATATTTTCATTTTATGAAATGCGTATTTTTTACTCTTCTCATACTAAATGCTTTTATGCTTAACAGAAGTAAGATGGCATTTAAAGATGAAGATTTATAGTGATAGAAATGCCATTTTAATATGTTTCTTAATATGTGTGCAATTTTGTAAAACATTAATTAGTATAGGACATAAAGATTATATTATTTATAAACCTAGAGATAGTGATGATGATGTGAACTGTGTAAAATACTTACAGGTCGTGGAATGATGAATCCTGAAAAGAGATTCCATGCACCATAGAAGAAGGCACCGACAATGGATGCAATGCTTTCGTTGGGAGTAATAGCCACAGACATCATGCCATAGTATGTGAAGTATAACAATGTGCAAAACATTACGAAGAGGTACCAGAAAAACTTAGCCGCTGTCCATTCAAATCCGATCATAGCATAAACAATCACACCATAAACTACCGATTGTAGAAGCACATATGGAATTTCAATAACAGCCTGTTACAACAACAACAGCATATTATTATTATAGTTTACAATTCACATATTTAAAATGGGTAGAAAAAAGGTGGGCTAGGATAGTAGAAATAAAACTTACTTGTCCAAAGGCATATGGCAATGCAGAATACATCCCGGCAGCCTTTTCCCTATAGAACACTGTACGTTCAACTGCAACCACTGGCTGCACCGAAGAAGAGTTTTGCACTCCAAGAAACAGAACCGCAGCATACATGGAACCCATTGCGTTAAACAAATCTTGCCTCTTCTGACTGAAACATAAGAACCATGAAATTATAGCAACAGAATTTACCCCTATATAGTAGAACTATTTATAAGGTGTTTCAACTACTTACGTTTTAGTACCAAGGTCCCAGAACATTGTTCCGAAGGCCAATGCAATGACCGTTGTGAAGAGGAACCTAACTGCAGTGTAAGATGTGTTACGCCAATAAGACCAATGTTGCTTCCACAAACAGGCCATACATTGACTCCAGAAACTCTGTGAGTATTGTGTTGGGAAATACAAGTCATTGGAACCAGGGCGAGGTGTGCTTAATTCACTTATCAAAGCTTTGTTTCTTTGGTAGAGATCTGACTTCTTATAGATATCTGTGAAATCAACTCCTAATAACATTTCTTGGGCTGAGCTTGTAACTTCCAACATCCATGTTGCTGGATTGTATCCTTCCTTGATTTTCGCCACTCCGTGAATTGACTGGTTTCAGATAAGTGAATTAGATAGGTAATGTGGACATTTGGTATATTAGAAGTTGGAGTTTTAGAGGAATTGAAACTCACCTCAAAGTAATCGATCAAATGGCATGAATTACGTCCCAATGGCCCGACATAAATCTCTTGTCCTCCTCTCTTCATTAGAAAGAGCTGCAGAGTTATTTTATTCTTAATCAGCTTATTCTTACAACCTTCGCAAAATTATGAAAATAAAGCAAAGCAACTCAAAGAAAATCGATTTACCTCATCAAAGGCTTCAAAAATGTCGATGCTGGGTTGATGAATAGTGCAAACGACGGTTCGGCCAGTGTCAACAGTGTTTCTCACAGCTCTCATCACAATTGCAGCAGCTCTAGCATCAAGTCCTGAAGTTGGCTCATCCATGAATATGATTGACGGGTTCGCCACTAACTCAACTGCGATTGTTAGCCTTTTGCGTTGTTCTGTCGAGAGACCGTTCACTCCGGGCAACCCAACAAGAGCTAACCTTAATGGGTTCAGCTCAACTAGTTCCATCACTTCGTCAACAAACATCTGCAATTTAATCACATATGTAAGCTTTCTGACTTTTTAAGATCTTGTGATGGCTATAAGGATGAGATTTTTTTTGTAAAAAATTACTTCGTACTGACCTTTCTAGCATTAGCATCCACATCCTCTGGCAAACGTAGCCATGCTGAGTAAACCAATGACTCATGAACAGTGACAAAGGGAGAATGGATGTCATTCTGTTCACAGTAACCTGAAATCCGGGCAAAAGTTTCTTGTTTCTTTGGATATCCAGAAATTTTAACATCTCCATCAATGTAACCGCCGGTTTTTCTTCCAGCCAAAACATCCATTAGGGTTGTTTTCCCAGCCCCGCTAACTCCCATTAAAGCAGTGAGAACGCCAGGTCTGAAGGCTCCACTTACACCCTTTAAGAGCACCAACCTATCCTCAGTAGTACCCTGATCTCTCATTTCCTGTGGCATGTCGACCGAGTAGACAACATCATCAAATGTTAGGGAATGGGGTTCAAATGGAAGAACCATTCCCCGTTTCTGCACCTCAGGGGTCTCGCTGATGCCATTCCCTACAACATGGGATAATTGTTGGGTAGAAGAATTTTCATTGTCGTCATCATCTGGTACGAGAGCTTGTGGCTTGCCAAATGCTGCATATGGAGTAAGAAGTTATAATAATTACCTCAAACATGACTGTCAGTCTGTCAGGGGGTAACTCAAGGTTATTAAGTGACTAAGATACTTACGATTAAGAAAATGGAGCGACAGAGTGTAACAGACATTGAAGACTATTGTGAACCCAAAAAGTGCCCCAAGACCTATCCAATACCATTTGGCTTCTGGGAAGAATCCTCTCGATTTCACCACCGCATCTCCAAGTGGTTCAGTGCCATTTGGGGCAATCTATTAAAATTTTAAATAAAAAAAAAATACAAAAAGTGTGGTTCAGTTATAAATATACTATCGTATACATATATATGTTCGGGAAAATTTCAAGCCACTGTGATATTGGAGATATATGTGCTTACATGTCTCCAGCTCTTTCCATTAAATTCATTGACAAGAACTGCATTCATTGCATACATCAATGGTGAAGACCAGTAGCCCCAAATCCACCAGTGTTTCACATCATCTGCAGAATCAGAATGCAAAGCAATGTGTTCATATTAGGTAGCTCAAATGAGCCCTTTATAATACAAAACAATAACCACAGTTAAACCATTAAGCTACAAACCTCGAGAGAGCACAAAGCCACCCAAAGCAAATAACAATAGCAAAGCAAAGGATCCAAATGTATTTGCGACTCCCATAGTCCTACCCATTGCTGCAATAAATCGGAAGAGTGAAGAAGCCATCTGGTTCACCAATATCATTAACAAGAACTGTTTGAACAGCCTGAAACAGGGGGGGGGGGGGGATTTTTTAGATTTTACAGGTCAATACCAATGCAAGAGATGACTGTAGTACCCATTAGAATCATTGTTAATACACATGGTTCTTACCTGCCAACATTGGGATCAAAACCAATGACATAGTAAGTAACAAACACCCATATACTGACTTCAACAAATGTAACAGGCAGTTTGAGGATCCACGAAGGAATAGCATAAGCCCATGGAGGGAAAAATCTGAGGTCCCTTTGTTTGTAGAATACCGGCAGCTTATAGATTGTCATTGGAAGTTCGGACATACCATTGAACATAACCATAACGACGCCGAAGAACAAGGCACCAACAAAAATCCCTCCATCAGTCTCATTATCTTTCTTCATTTCAGTTCGAAAAAACAGCGTCATGGAAATGAAAGCCATCACCAAAAGCTGGACGCAGTTAAAAAAACAAATCAGATAATTCACAATATGCAAAAAAACATTCACAGGCTAGGAAATTAAAAGTATAACCGACCACTCACCTGAAAGATCTTGAAGATGTAAGCAAATGAGTTTCTATGCATTAGCAAATATTCTCTCTCAGTGCAAGCCTTCAGGAGTTGCTTCTTTCCTATACCGAATTTGTCATTTGATAAAGCGGCAGGGTGGCTTTTGGTCTTATCGAATGGGACCGAAATTTCATGTGCCACCTTCCTTCCAACATGGAAAGATTGGTATGCCTCAGCAAATTCCTTAGCCTTCACATACCTATAAGGCTCGTCACGGCGCATCCAATATTGCTGTTGATCTTTCTTGGAAGTCACCTGTAAAACAACACTTTATTTTTAATATAATGTAGAGGAGAATTATTTTAATATTCTTAGGAGATGATCAGGTGAAAAATTGCATACTTCTTGCAAGAAATCTGCTACGCCTTTTCTTTCGGGGCATCTAAACCCCATGGACTCAAAGAAATCCAATATGTATTCGCGAGGCCCATGGTAAATAACATACCCATCCGACAATAGAATGATATCATCAAAGATATTATAAGTTTCCGGTGCCGGTTGGAGTAGGGAAATGACGGCAGTGCCCTTGAGAATATGCACGTACTGCTTCAGTGAGTTGACAATTGAAAAGGTTGTGGAACTGTCAAGCCCTGTTGAGATTTCGTCCATGAAAAGAGCTTTTGCCGGTCCGACCATCATTTCACCCGTGGTCACACGCTTTTTCTGCCCACCTGATATACCTCTTATCATTTGGTCTCCCACCATTGTGTCCGCACATACTTCCAGTCCCAAAATCTGCAAAGCACAAATTAATGTCCAGGTTTTTCTGCAGTAGTTTCTTTTAAGTCCTGACCAAAGATGAATTCTGTTTTTTTTATTGTTCAAATCTATAGGCTACCTTAAGAATGTAATCTGTGACGACATTCGCCTCTTGTCCTTCAGTGGCTGCAGCCTGTAAGAACATTTGTTTGAGTTATATTGTATGGTTCAATAAATCATTTCAGGTGATCTCTACTTCAATATTTGCAATTCCATTCATCCTTAAAAAATTGGGGATAATTTACTAATTCGTCTTGATTTTCTTAAAAAAAATCTATTATAAGTAATATTTTCCTTTACATAAATAAATATATTTCTATCTATTATAAGTAATATTTCTTTGTTATGAAGCAGCAGTCAGTCTATGCAATTTTCGAAAAGATGATCGAAAAAGAAGAAGAGTTTCCAAAAGTAGAAATAGCTGATCTAGCTAATTATGAACCTCAAAGAGAATTTATGGATACGTCAAGTTTTGCCTCATCACATAACTTTCTTTATTCGAATTAAGCCAAATAATGGAGTGGGAGTGCTACTAAATAACAATAAGTCGATGCTGACAAGTTTTGTCGTTTCAAACAAATAGTTAAAACTTTTTTTAAAAATATACAAATAGTTAAAAACTAAAAACAAATAGATATACTACGTACGGAGTATATATAATAATGAAAAAAACATGACAGAATAAATTTCTCATTCAATCAATTAGCCCTGTCATAATCTACGTGTATACAAGTTGACTCTGTGCTGTATTGTCCGCAAAATTCTTATCTACTTCCCTTTGTTTACACCCACTTGTTCAACTAATTTAATTTTGTCCAAATTATATCCCGTGTTCAAATTAAGAACCCACACAGATAATGAGACTAATTCAACTTTAATATACCTTCATGTACACGTCAATATCTGGATCAGGCTTGATATTTGCTGCCTTCTCTCTTCTTGACAACTCCGCTAACATTTCTGCATATATTTCCAAACCATAAACCGAATGAAACAATGAAATAGGTCGCAAGGCAATAAACAAATAACTGTAAGAATTAATTACGAACCATAACGAGACCCCACGCCCTGGCATCTCGCAGAAAATTCCAAGGTCTCTCGAACAGTCATTTCTCCGATGTGCAAATCGTGTTGACTAATGTAAGCGGCTGTTCTTTGAGGCACGAATTCATTCAGGCCATGCCCGTTATATGTTACACTTCCTCCCACTCTTAAATCTTTATCGAGCTTTCCAGCCAACGCTAGCAAAAGCGTCGTCTTCCCAGAACCAGGAGGTCCCAACAACAGTGTCATTCTACATGGTTTAATTATTCCACTAACATCATTCAGAATAGTAATCCTCCTCTTCTTGCTTGTGGTGACGTGAAGGGCGTTCAGTAAATCCTTTAATCATAAGAATGCAAGGAGAAGAATTTATATAAATTGATTTAGATAAATTGCAAGGAGCTAAGCTAATTGGAGTACAGAGTACTAGACATTGATCTGGAAATCTCTGTCTCAATTTTGACTTGTAAGTATGAATTAATCGATATTAACTTGTTAGTTACCTCCTTTCCATCTTATGGGTCTTACTTTCGACTTTGACCCAATTTTTAATTAGTGGTTGGAGAAGTAAAAATTGGACTAACTCAAAAAGGAAAATAGGAAAGTAATACATGTAAAATGGGACGGAGAGAGTTAATTAATAATGAAAATATATTGAATAAAAATTCAAAGTTGCATAAAGATGATAAAAATAAAAATGTAACACATTTATTGAAATAAACAATTGTCGTTTATCATGAAAATATCATTGCTTATCTTGAATAAGAGCTAATTCCCTCCTAAAACCAGATCTGTTTTTTTGGCACAAAACCAGATCTGTTAGTTAATTACTCCGTACTTATTACTACTATAATCTTTTCACGACCGCATAAGTCATATTTTATTGAAGCACAAAAGAAAGATACTTATACGTGTGCACTTATCCCATAATTTTGTTTTATTTGCATTATTTCTTTATAAATCAGTCGATCTGGAAAGTACATCGTAGTAAATCAGAAACTTTGAATAGGCCATTGTTGACCTACCTCAATGAAATTGGTAGTGAAGTTGATGAAGGAAGGCAAAGCTCTACTGCCTGCATAAGCATCTGCCTCCACATTCAGATGTTCATATCTCACTTCAATGGTTGGCAGATCAATCCCCACTCTATGAAATGATAACAAATTAGTTACACGCACTCTGAATTTGTTCATGAACATACCGAGATTCAACATCTAAGGACAGCGAAAATCAATTAATCAAGGCAAACACTAACTAACCTGTCAATTCTGTTCCTGAGTTTCAACAAGAACTTCTCGTTGTCCTCATCGGCGACGTTCACGAGCCTCTGAAGCAGAGTTTGCCTCTCTTGTTGACCGAGATTATTGATGTCCACCTCCGCCGCCGGACCGTCCGGGCCGAACAGAAGCCCTTTTCGCAGGCGATCAAACGTCGGCAGCTTCTCCAGCGCCGCCCACTTCAGAGCCTCTTCGTCGTCCTCGTCTCTGGACGACCGGGAGAACACCTCCACGCCGGTGTTCCTCCATATAGAATTGCTGTTTGCCCTGGTACTACCTCTCAAGCTCCCTCTTAGACTCCCTCTAATGCTCCCTCCTCTTATAATCCCCAAATTCGCCGCCTCCATCCTCCGCTATGCTCCACCGTACCGACCCCTTCTGTTGTGCCCCAGCTCCGGCTAACCTGAATCGCAATACCAAAGTTGTCTGGGTTGAAATCAAAATGGAATCCGAATCGCTTTTTCACCTCCCTAGTTTAGATACTGAATATTGTTGATTTATGGAAGAGCTGAGCAGCTTAGAGGTGTATTGGGTGGGAATGGAAATGGGCGGACTGAATATATAATGTGACAGAGATTGGATGGGAGAGGTCAAATATGGCAAGTCCGTTGAGGTGGCTGGCTCGGTGTGTGAAAACCTTTTGTTGCTTTGGTCAAACAACTTCATTTCTACTTTCAACATACAAGTACTCCGTATTATTTTCACCGATACTTGATTGTTCAAACACTGCGTAATCGCTTACGAGTTGTGAGTACCTCATTTACCATAAAAACTTTATATTGTTTGGTTTGATTATTTGACGTATACTGTGTGAAAATTTTCAAAAACATTTCCCACACTATCATATCTGAGTGCTCTCGCTGTGCCGCCACGGATTTCACATTGAATTTATTGATACTTGGCTCGACTTACTCTTGAACTTTCAAAATTTTGTATTGTATATGTAATATTTTCATAAAATGTTCATACATTAATTAAATATATATGTGTCCCCTGCCTAATGGGAGATTTTAAAGAAAAAACGTGTTAAATAATTCATCATTACTATATAAATAAAGAAAGAATAGAACAATTCATTGTTTAAGACTTACAATACTTTGTAAATTATCAAATGATATTAAATACTAAATTCACTAATTAAATAATTTTTAGATCATGTGAACTGAATAAAAAATATTAATGTTTGTTGACATTAAATTAGACATTTAATTTACTTCTGACTTTCTAAATGCAATTTATTGCACATACGATAAACTATAACTTATTTTAGCAATAATAAAAATACAGCATGCACCACCTATATGAATTAGCAATATAACCCCTTATTTATTTATACTTAATAGCAATACAATTCATTAGTACAGTTCATTTAAGATGATCTGCACCGTTTAATTCACTTCCATCTATCTCTGGCCTTCTCGCTCCCATCTTCCCTGTTTCCATTTGTTTCCTTAAATCAGAAATCCAATTTCCTCTTCATTTCTTTCATCCCTATCTATTTTTTGTCTCTCTCCTTCGATCGCTGCAAGACTTCCCAGATGATATCTTGCTTCCGTCGCTGCAAAGAGAAGAAAGTGCAGGTGTGGTGGCCGATAGCCACGGCTAGCTTACCTTCTGTGACGTCTTAAAGGTGTTAGAATGTAAACTTGATTTTGGGCTAAGTTAATAATTGATGTTTGTTGTAATGGGCAAAGTCCAAAATAATTAGGAGTGTTCTAGAGAGAAATGTTCTAGAAAGTTTATAGAGTGTGAGACTTCTAGAGACATTCTAGAGAATAATTAATAATGGAGTATTCTAGATAAGGAGAATTCTAGAGAACTCTCCACCATTTATTGTGGATGTGAGTAGTATAAATAGGTGTAGTTGTGCTCATTTGTAATCAAACATCTTGCTAAAAAACCTTCAAGCAATAAAATACAAGTTCTCTCTTCTTTTATCCACTTCTAATTAGCTAAAAGCTTTTCCTACTTACACAATTATCTTCTTAACGTCCTAAAATACTTGGTCTCTACCTCTCATATTCCAACAAATTGGTATCAGAGCCATGGCTAACGGGATGAAATCCTTTCAATTCCCTCGCCTAACCAAAGGCAACTACAGTACTTGGTGCATCCGAATGAAGGCAATACTAGGTTCACAAATGTGTGGGATTTGGTGCTGAATGGCTACGTTAAACCGAAGGATGAAAGTACTCTTAGTGCACTCCAAAAGTGTCACGCCCCAGACCGCATCTAGGCGCGTATACAATCGCGCATGACCAAGTAACGCCACTCGCAAGTCGACGTGTCTTAATCATACAAGGCGTCCATGAACATAATATATATCCATACTCAGTAGTAAACATACACAACAACATCACAGTTTAGATTAGTTGAATAGCGGAAATATTCAATAATCAGTCGTGGGCCACACATGGCCAAAACGTAGGCTCGCAGGCCAAAACAATGTATTCATACAAAAGTATCCATGAGCATAGTTTATCTTTTGAAATAGTAGAGGGAGCACGAACCACGTCTTCCTCTGGATTCTCTTCACCCGTGCAAAGGTGTAGATGACAAGCCTTAGCTTCAACCTGAAATGGTGCCCCCCCCCCCCCCCCCCCGAAGGGGTCAGTACAAGTACCGAGCGAGTAGCAGGCTAAATATAGAATAACTAGCGTTTCAAGTATAAGACCCAAACATAGGGTGATACTTATATAAATAGTCTTTCCCCCCAAGTTAAGAAATACTTAGTAGTACGTATACAGTTAGAAAATACCTGATCCGTAGATCACCGTTTTATTTGGGAAAAAATTAATAGTCAATATCCTTGACTAAAAAACCCAACCCACCCATATGCCTATGAGTGTATAGGACTCCTCCTTGTCCATACTTCAATATCATAATCTATGAGTTTTGAGGATCATAATCCTTAGGTACTCCACCAATTTGTATTCGAGTGTTAAAGACTTTTAGTCCTAGGGTCCTCCACCAATTTATTATCCGAGTGTTAAGGACTTTAAGTCCTAGGGTCCTCCACCAATTTATAATCCTATTGTTAAGAACTTTAAGTTCTAGGGTCCTCCACCAATATATAATTTGAGTGTTAAGAACTTTAAGTTCTAGGGTCCTCCACCAATATATAATTTGAGTGTTAAGAACTTTAAGTTCTAGGGTCCTCCACCAATATATAATTTGAGTGTTAAGAACTTTAAGTTCTAGGGTCCTTCACCAATATATAATCCTATGATCAAGCTCCTATCAACCTAGATGGAGTCTATATCATATTTATTCATTCATAGCTAAATCAATCCATAAAGCTTATGTATCTCAACTCTTGCAAGCCATGCGTTTATATAAGTTTGTAATTAACTAATACCAACCGGTATTAATTAATCCATTACCCATCGGTCAACGTTTTCGTTGACCACCATTTCAAACCTTGTACATCTCAACTCAATCATCATGTATATTGAGTCAATAATATTCATTATATGCTTCCTTTACCCTTTAATCCATGGCATGTAATTTCATAGAAATTCTCACATCATACTCCATGTATATTCAAATAATTCATTTCATACAAGTCAAATCATTTTGGCTAATCACATGTTTAAACATCCTTTAAACATCATTATGGATGCATATAACATTTATTTAGGTAATCTCATAATTAACCCAAAAGTTATAAGATATTAAGCCGTCCACTCACCTTAAATGAGTTATAGCGTGTTCTACGCTCTTCGGTTGAACTCCGGTGAAATTCCGGCTAACTCCGGCAAACTCTAGAAACCCTTTAGTCAAGTTCCTAACAAGGTTTTATCATCATAAAACTCATATAACCTCCAAATAGCCTTAGGACCAAACTGTGCGATTCCAGGCGAAATCGGGCTGAGTTTTGCCACGCACGCCGTGCCTGGCCTGCAGGCACGCCGTGCCTCCGCAGTGCCTCCGCTGTGCCTGGGTGGCAGTAGCTACTCGAGGAAAAACGGTCCCAGGCACGTCGTGCCTAACCTGCACGCACGCCGTGCCTGGCCTGCAGGCACGCCGTGCCTCCGTAGTGCCTAGGTGGCAGTAGCTACCTGGAAGTATTTTAAGCCACGCACGCCGTGCGTGCCTCCTAGGCACGCCGTGCGTGGCACCCAGGCTGCCCAACATGGGGTTTTCGTGGCATTTTGCGACGAAAATAACCTTTTGGAGGTTATTTGTATTAATATGGGTTTTATGATGATAAAACCTTGTTAGTAACTTGTCTAAGGTATTCAAGGAACTTTCATGGAGTTGAAAGGGTCGCCGGAGTTCGTTGAAGTTCGCCGGAGTTTCGCCGGAGCTCAATAAGGGAGGCTAGAACTTCATAAGCTTCATTTAAGGTGAGAGGACGACTTTATGCTTTATAACTTTTGCGTGAGGCATGAGATTACCTAAAGCAATCAAAAACATGTTTTATGGAATGATTAAGAATAATCAAGTGTTTGCTTATGCCATGATTTTGCATAAAACATAGTTGAAAAGCATGTAATGTAGGTTTGGTGATTAAAAATGTGATAACTTATTATGTGTGGTGTTCCAGGGATCCAAAATGGTATTTTTGGATCAAGGACGTCAAGAAGTATAAGTGTATAAAATTTCACGTTAATCGGACTTCGTTTGGGCGGTCAAACGAGCGTTGACCGCCAAGACGAAGGTGATACCCGACCGGGTATGGGTAAATACCCGACCGGGTTTTGATTAAAAATTGCTCCAGAAGCCACTGCCACACTAGACCCAACCGGGTATGGGTATAGACCCGACTGGGTCTCAAGTAAAGTTGGCTCCAGGGGCTACTGCCTCACCCCACCCGACCGGGTAAGGTTGGATACCCGACCGGGTATTGGGTTATACTCAAAACGGGCAAGTTTTGAGTAGGTTAACGTGGGCCGTTCAGGTGGGACCCGCCCACGTTGGATCCTAAGGATTGTTATATGACTATAGGGCTAGACATTGTCCATAGTTAAAGGAATGAAAGGTTAGCCATATCCAGGTTAGGAT